CGCCTCTCTTCCTTCTCAAAGGTAGGGGCTTAGCTCCTAGAGGAGTAATCGGGGCCTAGGCGTTTCTTTTTATTATTATTTATAATTATTTTGTATTATAAATTATAAATTAATACCAAAATCATGCAAAATAAAATGATATATAAATTAGAGGCCTAAAATAGAAAGTACCATAATTGATATAAAACATGGGGAAAAAGTTAAGCATAAAGCATATAATAATACTATTTTTTTTTTCAATTAACATATTAGTTAAAAATATTACATTGCAGTTTTTGTGTATAGACCGAAATGGTTTTTGTTTGTTGGGCCCATAACTCCTACCCACCAAAACGGTACGTATAGCTAAATAACTCCTCCCCAACAAAACGAAGCGTACGACGTATTCCATTAGGTCATCTTCTTCGCGTTTAATTACCACCTAGTGCTGCCGCTGCAAGCTCGTGGAGCACATCCAACCAAATCTTCTTCGCTTAGTTTACCATATGATGCCGCCTAAAGCTCTCAGAAATGAAGGATCCGCCCAGGAGCCCAGACCCCCCCCCAAGGAGCGCCTAGGCGGTCTCCTAGGCCCATTTTTCGAACACTAGCAGCATATGCATATGCATGATATAAAAAAACCAACTGGTAGGAAATGGAAGGTGATGAATGATTCTGACGTAGACAATGTACCACATGAATATAAATTAATGCAAAAATATTCCCTTGCATTGCGCAATCAACCATAAAATATGCAGAACACGAGTGGTATTGTACCATCTCTTCTCTCGTGTTCTGCATATTTTATGATTGATTGTGCAATGCATCCCATGATCTTGTTACCGAATTGAAGATACTCATGCTATATATTGTAAGTAAAATATAGGTGCTGATGGGGTTTGTGATCCGGTGGTGGGGAGACGATGCATAAACATTGCTGATATAGTTTTTGGATCCAGATTGAAATCACACTATAACTGATTCAGCTTTGAAGAGGATGAGTTGCTCTTGTCTCCCGAACCGTGTGATATATATTGAGCAATGCCAAAGGGAAGGAAAGCAAACTGAAACACCAAATTGAACATTCAACTGCAAAGTACAAGACCTTTCTCTTTTCCAAGATTTGAATGATTGTGTAGAGAAGTTTCTTCTATTGCCACACTCTCAGCAAACCTTATCCCAGGAGTGTGGAGACAAATGGATCAATGAACTACTAGATGGATTGTGAGGCTCCTGGATGTGTGTGGCATCATTAAGCATGATTGTTTGCCAGCCACCTCAACCAAACTCTCTTTCAACTGGGAAAAATAACGTGTTCTGTTTCTTTTGTTTTTGTTCATTTTGCACCTGGTGGACATGTGGCAGCTACCACTATCTAGAACACTGTTTAGCCACATAACTACTCCTAATACCACATATCATGAGATCATTGTTTGGGCATTTACTAATTTGTCATTTGTCTCCTGTAGTTATAGGAAAATATTGCTTTTATTATTATATTAATTCTTGCTGTATGTCATCTCAGGCTTAGTAGACTTGTACGTAGTGTGCTCCAAAATAAACTAAATGTTGCCAATAGAATCAGTTAGTATCAATTGTTTATGAGATTGTGAGTTAATTATGAGTCATTGATGCATTGCGAGATCATAAGCTTATTCCAATTGCTCGTTTCAAGTATTTGAGGCTATATAGAAGTAGAGCCCAATTTTCTACAATTCATGCATACCCAATAGAATTATGTCAATATTAATTGTCTATGCGTTCGTGAATGATATTGCAAACCGTTGATGCATTGCGAGACCATTAACTCGCATTCGCATTGCTCTTTTCTAAGTATTTGAGGCTACTAGAAGTGGAGCCCAATTTTCAACAATGCAGGCAAGGATTTACTTTGATCCTTAATAACATGTATGGTCACTTTGGAGGCAGGTTGTTTAGACTTTCAAAACTCAGCAGGTGTCCTCATAGTGCCAGCCTCTCTAATCAACTCTTTTGCATTAACTTTTTTTTTCGTGCTTGAACATTTATAGATTTCGATAAAGAAAAAAGAACCTTCATAGATTCTAAAGGACGTGCTCATGCACATCTGTTGTTGCCTTGAGAGATTGGGATGGTTGGTTTTTAGTGACAACCGAGAATGACTTCTTTTGGAAGGGCCTTGATTGACCAACTAAAGTCCAAGAAAGGCTCAGAGTACTACTACTGAAAGGGTTTTGTTCTCCATCACAGGTTTGGCATCCTATGCTTCACAATTGCAATCAGGTATGCTCATGTGCACCATTGTGCTACCATGTGGGCTTGAGAATTGGTAGAAATATGCCACAAGCCCTCATGTGATTGGCAGAGAAAAGAAGACTACCTCAGTGTACATGATTTCTCTCTTACTACTATACCCATAAATCTTTGTTTGATATTGAAAATTATGTATATAAAGAAACACATATTTTAGACATGAAACATATGTACGTATATGTATTTAGCGTTTGCTTTTTAAAAAACGTGTATTTTCTAAATTACTCTGATCAATAAATGAAATTCAAGGAATTTAAAAATAAAATAAAATAAAAAAGGCTATACTATTTATTACAAAAAGTAAAAAAAAACCCAAATATGGCTATACTATTTATTACAAAAAGTTAAAAAAACCCAAATATGGCCATATTATTATTAGAACAATTTAGAAAATAACTAAAGTATAGCCGCGCGGCTATACTATTTAATTATATTATATTTAAAAATTTATTTTAAAAACGTTAATAAAAATTGCGATATAGCCGCACGGCTCTATTTATTAAAAAATTTTAAAAACTTGAGTATAGGCGCGTGGCTATACTATTTAATTATTATACTATTTTATACGTAGAAGAATGCATTCATATGTTAAAGACATGTAAAGAAGCATTTTGTATTTAATACGGCACATAGGATTTAGAAAAGTTTTTTTAAACAAATACTAAAATATAGCCTCACAACCATACTATTTATTTTAAAAAGTTATTAAAAAAAAACCAAGAATAGCAGAAGTATAGCCATGCCCATACCACTTAATTATAATAGTATTTTATGAGTGCTGCTAAACAAATCCTAAAATTAACTGAGTACACACCCTATAATCTAAGTACACCATAATATTTAAATCAAAATGTAAAATTAACTAAGTACACCCTATTTTACTACCCAAAAATCCCTGGTACACCCTAATACACTCTATCCCTCCAAAAAAACCAACAACATTCATCGATCTCCCCACGATCCCTTTTTTCCATACCTTGATTCTCAAAGTTTTTAACTATACAATCTGGACAATATTGTTCTTTTTGATATATCCTAAATTTAACTAATGATACAAAAACGTTCAACATAATTCTTTGATATTGATTCTAAATCAAATAATAAGTAATACAAAGGGAATCACTCTTATTATTTTGCAGCTTTGGGGTTTTAAATTTTTTTCCCAAGAAACACAGTATTTCATGAAGAATTTTTGGGCTTATGATTTCGGCTGCTACGTCGCGTAGCGCAACGCAACCCCTCATTTGGAGATGGTGGCTTATTTTTAGCATAACTTGATACGTAATAATTCATCCCAAGAAAATCTAAACTTCCCTTGATCATCATTTTCTCTTCTTCAGTACACTTAGGCAGCCTCTCCTTCACCAAGTCTCTCATGCTTTTTGGATACTCTCCAAACACAAATGGATCCATAAACCATCCTGGTGGTGGGGCAATCCCCAGCTCATAACCATAAGATGCAAGAATTCTTGGCTCATTAAATGTGTACCAATATTTAACTCTGTCTCCAAATAATTGTGTAACAATATGCAATCCCCACCTATCAAATAACATCTCGGTTGGAGAAGCTTTAATACTTTTTATTCTATTACCATTTTAGTACATGCCTGTTTTATATGCTTAAATCAAACCGTATCTTGTAACTGTCTAACGTACCAACAATTGTAGTCATGTCACATACAATATTAATATAACAATATCTTACGTGCTAAAATGAAATACTGAGAGAGACTCCATCGACAAATGTCAAATTCAGAATCTTAATTATGTCCTAACCTTCATTTCCATGACTTATTTTCTTGTTGTCAACTAAAATCTGTGAAGTTTAATAATATTTTTATCCACAAGAAAGTTAGGCCATTACAATCACCAAACTACAATTAGACATCAAATCATTTACAAATATATATTGTTGTAACTTGTATGTAGTTGAATCTTCGTTGTATCAAAAGAAAACAAATACCACTAGACAAAACACTAGGGCATGACAACGCCCTCACCGACACTTTCCCGCGAAATGTAATTGAGGCGTAACGTACGCTTTAGTCACGATGAGTCATGTGACCGGACAAAAACAGTTTTATTAGGACAGGACTGCGACTGTCCCTCGTCCTCTACGTAGCTTTCGCCAATCCCACCAAATCCTCCGAAGCTTCTCGCTTGCACTCGCGCACGTCGCCCAATCAATTCACTCGTTTGATCCCATGTCGGATTTCAGCGCGTACGAATGCCCCCAACATAAACTAGTATTAACTCAAATTCCATAAATCTTAAAACACACGAGAACAAAAACAAAACCAAAAAAAGATATTATGGTCACCGACACTTAGAGTTTCTTTTCCTACAACATATTCTTTACGTCTTGCTTGGTTCTCGAGAAAATGGAATGCTGGAAAATTTTTGAATTCGAATTTTCTTGGGGGTGGTGGGATTAGTGGAGTTTAAAGTAGTGAAACGTCAGTGTCACCTCAGCTAATTGATACTTTTGACCCAAAAAAAACTAATTAATAGCGTTTATCCTTCTTAGTGGTCGAATTAATAATTTGATTTGGAGCGGTTTCATGGAAAATCCAAAATTTCTGTTCTTTTCCCACCCTTTCTTTTCTTCCAAAAAAAACCAGATAAGACCAAGCACCAAACTGAACACTAAAAAGTTACAAAGAAAATGAAGAAGAAAAACTTATGTATTAATTAACATAAAATAATTTAATTTACAAAACCCATCTCAATTAATCATCTTCATCCCCCTTTGACGATGGCGATGATGTTGGATCTCTGCAAAATTTAAAGCTATTATGGTCTTCCATTTTCTCCACAACAAAATGCCCCAAGCTATCCACAGCCTCCACCAAGTTTTCCCGGCAAAGAAACTCGTCGCTAAAAACCCTCTCAACCTCTCTGTTTAAATCGTGGACAAACACATGGGTCGTGGCTCTGCCGCCCCTTTTGCTCCGAGCCAAAACTCCGGCGGTGAAGATTGCCGACATCCGCCCCGGGGCCGCCGGCGAGTACCCACGTGGCCCGTCGACCAAAATCACATCCCAAGGGACCTGGTATATGTGGTTCGGCAAGTCGTTGATCCCAATCTTGCAGTCCGAGAACAGCAGATTCTGGACCGGCCGGCACTCGTTTTTGACTTGGCTTCTGGTCGTCGAGAGCAATTGTTTATTATCTTTGACCTGGGTCGTGTACGACACGTCGTATGCTTCGGGGGTGTGGTGAGGATGGGACTGTTCGAACCTGGAGACCAAGAACTCGCTCTCGTCGAGGAAGACGGTGCGGCCGTTGTGATTGAGGGCGAGGTAGAGGAGGGACTCGTGGGTGAGCCCAAAAATGAGGAAATTGCAGGTAGGTGCGCAGAGGCGGGTGAGGGTGGAGGATATGGTGGTGATCTCTGGCGCGGACATGTGGGGTGTAGACGAGGTGTTCGACGAAGTGGCGTAGTGAAGAAGAGCATCGAGAATGGGCGGCTGGAGTGGGATTGTGGAGGTGGGCGTGAGGGAGGAGTTGGGGAGGGTTTGTGGGATGGTGGTGTTTATGAGAGTGAGAGTGAATGCGAGGGTGAAGAAGGTGAAGAAGAAGAGCAGCCATAGCCGGTGAGGGCTTCCTCCATTTGTGCTGGATTTGTGGATTGATGAGGGGTGGAGGAGGATGAGCTTTGTGTTTGTGTTGGTGGTGGTTGTGGTGTTGCTCTTCATTTCTAGAGAGAGAGAGAGAGGTTATGAGGTTGTGATTGAGTTCACGACAAAGGGATTTTTGGCTACTTTTTATTTTCTGTTTTTCATCTTCTTGAGCTCTCTCTGTGTCTTCTCTTTCATGATGTCAATTACCTGAAAGTTAGAGAGAGCCACAGAGAAATCACGGAGGGATTGAGTGGGACACAAATGCCAATGTGTACAGTTGAGGTCTTGAGGAGGTGGCGTCTTGTCATAAAAGGGAGGTTGGAGGGGGTACTTTGTAAAAAAGAGAGGGTCAAGGAGGCACTTTTGCAAGAAAATAATATTTCTGTGGTAGAATATAGAAGTTCTTTGCCTGAGGCCGGCCCATTAACAAGGCCAAGGCCCGAGACAATTGTTAACAAGAACACAAGTCAGTCACCAAGATATTTTAGTGAAAGCAATCGTAGCTTAAATTGGACTACTAAAATATCTTGGTGGATTGACATAATTCTTGTTAACAATTTTGGTGATTAGCAATGTGGTCAGTAAATGTGGTATAAATAGCATTTTTGTTAACATAAATCCCGTATAATTCAAAATTTATCCAATGTAATTCAAGATTCTATACGAGGCCTTATGAATTAAGTTAACAAGTAATTATATTATGATACTTGAGTATGGCCATGGTATAAATTGTTCCGATGTTAAAATATAAATAGATATTTATTGATGTTATACCATACAAATGAGAATCTTGTCCGCTCATATCATAATATGTGGACGGTGATGACACACTAACACGCATATTCCAGTATAATACAATCATTTCTCTAGATAAACAATATATGAAACCATTGTTGGTCAAATTGTAAGAATATTCTACGGTAAATTTGTTTCCTTCTTGGAGGGGAGAGAGGGTAAATACAAAAATGTGAGTCAAGATCCCACATGAGGGATAAAAGGAAGAAAGAAAGAGACAGATTGCGGGAAATTGGACATAAATGGATAGTGGATGTAAATTTTGGCAGAAAGTGTATGGCCTGGGATTGAGATATTTAGGCGGGATTGGAATGTTGCAAATGGCAATTACTTTGCGCTACAAGCTTACCTTTGTTTTCAATTTAAAGTTTTAATGTGTCTAGCATCTTTGTATTTTGTGCAGCTCCCATCCCATGTATGTTAGTCTCAAAATTTGAGGTGAGAGTGACAAATGGACATTTGACCGATTTGGGGAAATTCATTTACAAGAAATCGTCACCATATGAATAGAAGGTCAATTAAATGAATGGCAATCACAATCTGAAATATCAGGAATTTTATGATTGTTATCTCTTCTATGTGTGACCTAGAATAGTTAGTCGAAATGATAAAGGAGCAACTTCAGACGTGTAAATTTAGAATCAATTAAATTCAATCTGCGTATATTTGGATTTCACTTACCGTGACGTACCGACTTTAGGCTAAATATCGTTGTTTGATAAGTTAAATCCATGTTTTAAGTTTAAGGGATTTGAAATTATGTTGGTTTTGCATTTTGCTTCCGATTAGGATGTAGTTCTAGGGTTTGAAGTATATTAAAACCAACTTTAGTTAAGAAAGTAGGGTGGTTATCCATTCCATTTTTATTATCAATAAGCTTCCAGGCTTTTCTTAACTTTCTAGTGGATTTCATATTTTCTTGTTTTAAGACTATATTGTAGTGGTTTGGAGCAGATGAAAAGTCATGAATTCGAGTCTTGATATTTATGTAGTGTGTAAATTTAGTATGCTATTACCAATTTTTAAAAAACAGTGTTTGATTGTCCACTGAGTTATATGATTATAGAGTTATTTGAGCCAAATAATATGATATTGCACTAGTTTTGTCATGTTAGCAAAGTAGGCCACATTTCAAGGCAGGAAAGTGAGATTAAAGATGGTTGTATAGTCAGAAAGTTTCAGCCAGGGGCCCAAACTTATATGACCGAATGATGCAGCAATGGACAGAAGACACCACAGCTGCTCAAGTTTCACAACGAACTTTTTCGTCAGAAACTTGCACTTTTCATTGTCCAAAGAGATCTTTCAACGAGAAAGCAAATACAATGCAATAAAGCGGAAAGGAGAAAAGCAGCTCTCAGTGCACACCAAACAAGCACTTAGAAAAGCAACTGGTGAAAAACGTAACCGTAGGAAAACAATGTGCGACAATCCCATAAGGAAAGTCAAAACGCCCCCAAACCAGCCAAACAAATTATGAATTCCAGGGTGGGCAGGGGAGCCCATCTTTGTTAAGAACATGCACTAGTGAGGTGGGTGGTCTGGTTTCCCAGGTCTTCGAACTCCTCCTCGATAGTGCCAGTGACGCTAAATGGTCTGCCGCTTGATTTCCTGATCTTCTTGTCCAAGACGACGCACAGGATGCAAAGGATCTGTTTCAGAACAAACTTGGAAAAACTAAAACTTGCCATACCACCTTTCTGTCACAACTTTCATTTCTCTGATCACATAATTTACTTCATAATTGACAATAACAAACCAAATATAAGTATAAGGTTACACACAATTGCTAATTTGCTATATTTAAATTGTTCCTCTATGATATCTTTACTCTTTTTCTTTTATTCGAAATCTGATTCATTAAAAGCGAAATAGGCAAGCGAACAAAAAACAAGCCAAATACACAAAAAGAAAAACTACAAACCTAAAAACAATCAATATAGTGAAAAATACACATATTTTTAAAAAGATATTTTCTCTCCAAAGTGAGAGCACCGAGTGGTACGGAACCTTCGCGACTCTTCTTACTGGGAACTGCCGTTGCGGTGGTTTCCGGCCGCCGATCTATTGTTTCTAAGTGTGCGTCTCCCTGAATTTCAATTGCCCATGGAAGAAGGATCCCCTGGTGTCTTTCCCAAGCTTTCTCGTGTGACGAAGAGGGTTCGGGCTGCTGCAGATTGCGATTCTGAGTACGATGTGGAGTCGGGTTCCAATCCAATTTCGATGCAGGGGTTGATGCAAGCAACTAAGATGGATCTGAGGCCAGAATCTGAGCATATTTCTAGGCCGACGGCTGATCTGGTGAATGAATCTAATGGTAATATGATGCCTAATTTTTTACCTGGTATTCATAGCTTTCGTGATAAATTGATGAATAAAGTTAATATGACCAAAAATGTGGGGATTGCTATTAACTGCTTGGATACTGATTATGAGGGTTTGAATGATGAGGATGATGTGTTCATTTCTCGTGGTGAGCGTGGGCCGAGTATACAGTTCTCTGATCGTGCTATGGCTCGATTTTGTGAACCTTGGAAAATGCTTTGATCGTTAAGCTCCTTGGTCGCTCTCATACTTATAACTATCTTCATGATCGCTTAGCTCAGAAATGGAGTTTGGTGGGAGGGTGGAAGCTTATTGACTTGGTGAATGATTATTTTGTTGTGAGATTTGATCTGGAAGAGGACTTAAATTTTGTGTTGACTGGAGGGCCTTGGATGATTGCGGGGCAATACTTAACCATACAACAATGGCGGCCTGGTTTCTGCCCTTCTACTGCACACATCACAAGAATGGCTGCTTGGATTCGAGTATCTGCCATGCAGCTTGAATGTTTTGATGTTTGGTCTCTTAAGAGGATTGGCAACCTTCTTGGTAAATTGCTGAAAATTGATTCGTTGACTACTTCGCAAAATAGGGGTAAGTTTGCTCGTTTATGTGTGGAGTTGGATCTAACTAAACCCCTTGATGCCTTTGTGCAAATAAATCAGAACTGGTACAATATTGAGTATGAGGGATTACCTGATATTTGCTATCTATGTGGGTGTTATGGTCATAAAAGGGAGAGTTGTACTCTGAAATCTGTGAATTTGTCCGATGAGGCTGGGAAAGCTCAAGGTGCAGGAGTGGGACCTATGAATCATGACTCTGTTGGGGTTACAGAAACTGTGAAGATGGCTGAGGATAGCTTGCGAGGCCCTTGGATGAATGTGCAACCTAGAAGGCGACCAAAAACTATTCATAAGGATGTTCCTGGGCAGGGTTCTGGTGGAAGGAACAAAGGGTCTCGTTTTGATGCTCTTAATGAGATTGGTGAAGATTTTGACATAAGTAGGCCCGATAATGTTAACCAAGTTCCGACGAGGGGTGTCCCTATTTTTAAATCTGTGGAGGAAGTTGGTCAGAAAGTTTGGACTAAGTCTAAACATGCTAAATCGGGTTCTAGGCCTGTTCTAAATGATATCTCCAATAAGAATGTGCAAAAAGTCTTTAATAGTAAGGTAATGGATAAGAGTTCGGGCTCTTCTGATAAGTTTACAATGGGGGCTTCTCGACATTCTCGTAATCAAGTTGTTGGTGGTAGGAAGCCTTCTACTCTTAGTGCTGTCACTGAGCATTTGGATAGTTGGGGTGATGGTCAGCATATTCATCAAGAGAAAGGGGTTTATATTTTTGGGCATCAACCTCCAAATATAACAACACATTCGGAATTTCATGATGAGGATACTATTCTTCATGAGGATGCTTCAGAGTATGATGATGATAATGTTCTTGTGCCTAGAGGGATTGATCTGCTGGGGCAAGTTGCGAAGATGGATTTGGTTGAAGGCCAAACTAGCACTTCTGGTGGAAATTTGACTAGTACTACCTTCAACACGGTTGAAGGTATGGCTTTTGATGCTTAAGTAAAGGGTTTACCCTTAGTGATTGTTTATCTTTTAGCATATTTTTTATGAATATTATTAGTTGGAATGCTCGAGGTGCTGCGTGCACTAAGTTTAAGACTACTGTGATGAATTTGAGTCGTACTCATCATATGGATATTCTATTCATTTGTGAGCCTAGAATCAGTGGTGGGAAGGCTATTGATGTGGTTAAATCTTTGGGGTTTTCCAATTATGAAATTGTGGATGCTAATGGTTTTTCTGGTGGCTTGTGGTTATTATGGAATGCTAGTAAAGTCACAGTTGATATTGTTGGTACCTCAGCTCAATCTATTTCTGCTTGTGTCTGTTGGCCTGGTCAAACTCCCTGGATGTTTACTGGAGTGTATGCTCATCCTTGTATTGCTAAGCGACAGAAATTATGGGATTATCTTTCCTTTGTTGGAGCTAATCATAATATGCCTTGGTTAATTGCTGGAGACTTTAATGAGATGTTGAGGTTTGAAGATAAGTTAGGAGGAGCTTCTTTATGCAGATTAAGAGGGTTTAAAACCTGGTTTGACAACCATGATATGGTTGATTTGGGTTTTTATGGATCCAAATACACTTGGACTAATAAAAAAGTTTTTGAAAGGCTGGACAGAGCTATTTGTAATTTGAGTTGGCGAAGGTTTTTTGCTGATGCAACTGTGAGACATCTCCCGAGGACTAAATCAGATCATAGTCCCATCAAAATCTGCTTGGCTTCTTGTTTTATTTCTTCCCCCCCTTCCAGACCTTTCAGGTTTGAAGCTATGTGGCTCCAACATGAGAATTTTCAGGATGTTTTTTATGCTTCTTGGGGGTCTGTTATTGGATCTGCTCTAGATAAGTCTTATGCTTTAATTGCTCCTTTGAAGCAATGGAATATTCAAGTGTTTGGTCATCTGAGACAAAGGAAGAATAGGTTGTTGGCTCGCATTGATGGTATCCAAAAATCTTTGTGTTTGGGTCCAAATCGTTTCCTTTGTAATTTGGAACCTGAGTTAGTTAAGGAGTTTAATGATGTTCTTGAACAAGAAGCTGTTTTTTGGAGGCAAAAATCTAGGGTTAATTGGTTGCAGAAGGGTGATAGAAATACAAAGTTTTTCCATCTTACAACTATTATTAGAAGGAGGAGAAATAAGATTGAAAGACTTAAGAATATTGCTGGTGATTGGGTTGAGGAGGCAGTAGGAATTAAAGCTTTAGCTGTGACTTATTTTTCTGACCTGTTTTCTAATGATCATGTGGTGGACTCTGAGATTGGTTTTCCTAAATTGTTTCCTGGCATAGATGTGGCTGATTTGAGGCTTTTAAATAGACCAGTTGCTTTGGAGGAAGTTAAAGCTAGTCTGTTTAATATTGGAGGGCTAAAAGCCCCCGGGATAGATGGTTTTCCTGCTTGTTTTTATCAGAGCCAGTGGAATCATTGTGGTGAAGATATCTTTCAGATGGTTCTTAAGGCTTTTCATGAGTGTACAATTCCTGAGAAGCTTAATATGACTCTTATTACTCTAGTGCCTAAGGTGGAAAGTCCTTTGTCAATGGTGCAGTTTCGCCCTATCAGCCTGTGTTCTACTTTGTATAAAGTGATTTCCAAGGTTATTGTTGCCAGGCTCAGAACTATCTTGCCCAATCTCATAAGCCCTAATCAGGTTAGTTTTGTCCATGGTAGGCATATTACTGATAATATTCTTATTGCTCAAGAATTGATGCATAAGTTTAAATTGTCTAAGGGTAAAAAAGGTTTCATGGCTTGGAAAATTGATCTTTCTAAGGCTTATGACCGCCTAAATTGGAATTTTATTGAGCATGTGCTTGTGGAGTTGGGTCTGCCTCTCAATCTAATTAAGTTGATCATGAGTTGTGTTTCTACTGTGAAGTATCAAATATGTATCAATGGAGAGCTCACTGAGTCTTTCCAGCCTAAGAGTGGTATTAGACAAGGGGACCCTTTGTCTCCATACTTGTTTGTGTTGTGTATTGAAAAGTTGTCCCATATTATTTTTGAGGATGTTCGAATGGGTAAATGGAGACCTGTTAAGTCCTCCCAAGCTGGCCCTGCTGTCTCTCACCTCTTTTTTGCTGATGACCTAGTTTTGTTTGCTGAAGCTACCTCTAATCAAGCTAGAGTTTTGAAGAATTGCTTGGAGGTTTTTTGTCAAGCCTCTGGTCAAACAGTAAATTTTGATAAATCTGCTATATTTTGTTCTCCTAACACCTGTAAGGAAATAGCTAAAGAAATCAGTTGTATTTGTGGCTCTCCTCTAACTGAAGATCTTGGAAGGTACCTGGGTATGCCTCTATTGCATTCTCGAATTGATAAAAGGACTTATAGTAGCTTAATTGACAAAGTGCATAAAAGACTTGCTGCCTGGAAGGGTAAATTTCTTTCTCTAGCTGGTAGAGCTACCCTTATTCAATCTGTTACTTCGGCTGTGCCTGTTTATGCAATGCAAACTGCTAAACTGCCTACTAGTGTGTGTGATGCACTTGACAAATTAAATCGAAATTTTTTTTGGGGTGGGAGTGAGAAAAGGAGCAGGGTCCATCTTTGTCAGTGGGATCTTGTTTGTAGGCCTAAGAGTAAAGGGGGTTTGGGTTTTAAAAAAACTGGTGCTATGAATCAAGCTTTGTTAGCCAAGATTGGTTGGAGGTTGCATATTAAGGATGAAGGCTTGTGGGCAAAGATTTATAAGGCTAAATACCTTAAAGGCCATTCTATTCTTGATGATTCTGTGATTTTTAGGCAGGATTGTTCTTCTACATGGAGAGGTGTGCTTCATGGTGCTGCTCTTTTAAGGAAGGGTATGTTATGGAGAATTGGGGATGGTGGTACTGTTAAGTTTTGGAAGGATAATTGGGTTTTTGATGCTCCTTTAAACCAAAATGATAGTGGTGTGCATATTTGTGACCCAGATTCTGTTATTTCCAGTTTTTACAGAGATGGTTGGTGGGATATGGAGAAACTAAGGGCTGCTTTACCTGATGAGCTGGTCCAAAGAGTTATTAGCTGTCCTGTGGGGTTTAATAGTGGGCTACAGGATGCTCAAATTTGGAAGTTTTCCTCCAATGGGATTTTCTCTGTAAAATCTGCTTATAATATGGTTTTTGAGGGCTCTACTTGCTCTGATGTTGCTTGGACGTTTTTGTGGAAGCTGAGGATTCCTCCCAAGTTGCATATTTTCTTTTGGCTTGTTTTTCAAGGAAAAATTCTTTCTAATGAGCAAAGAGTCAGAAGACAGCTATCTTTGGATGCTTCTTGTGGATCGTGTCATTGGCCTATGGAGTCTATACTCCATATTCTTCGTGATTGTGTTAAGGCTAAGAAGGTGTGGAATGCTCTTCTCAATTCTAGTCAAAGTGCTAGATTTTTTACTATGGACTTTCAACCTTGGCTTAGAGTAAATTTGATGTCGAAGATTGTTTGGGCTGATGGTATTCCTTGGAATTTGGTCTTTGTTTTCACATGTTGGTATATATGGAAATGGAGGAATCACTATGTGTTTCATGGTGATGAAGACTTGGCTTTTGACTCCATACAAATTATTACTGCTGCTGTGAAGGAATGGTTTAAAACTTCTAATGTTTCTTTTACCAAGTGTGCTAAGGTTGAGGCTTGGTTTGCTTGGGAACCTCCTCCTGCTGGGGTCTTTAAACTGAATGTTGATGGCTCTAGGAAAGTTGCTTCTGGCCATATTGGTGCTGGAGGTGTGTTGCGTGATGTTTCTGGTGATTGGTGTAGTGGGTTTGCTATTAATTTGGGTAAAGGGCAGATTCTAGAGGCTGAATTATGGGGTCTGTTCTTTGGTCTGAGGATGGCTATTGCGAAAGGGTTTAATAACCTTATCGTTGAGATGGATTCGGCTGTTGCTATCCAGCTTGTTCAGCAGCATGATTCTCTTACTTTGCACCCTCTTGCATCTCTGGTCTCTAGCTGTTGGCAGTTAATGCAGCAGCTTGAGAAGTGCAGCATGCGTCATATTTTTAGGGAGAAAAACAGTGTTGCAGATCGTCTGGCTGCTTGGAGTTATAACTCAGATCTTGGTATCTGCGTTTTTGATGAGGCTCCAAGTTGGATTGGGACTTCTTTGGTGGAGGATTTGTTAGGGGTGTCTAGGCCCCGGTTGATTTGTGTTGGTTAGTTTGTTTTGTTTGTTTGGGGTTTTCCCCCCCATTTCACCAAAAAAAAAGAAAAACTACAAACCTAGAAAGGAACAACTCAAACCAAGTCTATCATATCTCTACTCATTAACAATGTCATGAGACCTTAACTCTTCAATCAAAGCATTCAAATTTGAGTGAGATGACCCCCCCACTTCAACAGCCCTCCTTGCCATCTCTGCATAACCCCTGGCTCTGTTCCTCATTTCCTCTGCTTCCTCACCCACCATGGTCCTTGTCACAGCCTTCTCTATGGCATCACTCTTCACACTCTCCACTGCCACTCTACTCCACTCTTTGGCTCCAACACCAACCCCAATCCTAAGCACTTGTGTGATCAGCTTCTCATTGTAAAACTGCTCTGCAAACACAGGCCATGTGGCCATAGGCACACCAGCACACACTGCTTCAAGTGTTGAGTTCCACCCACAATGTGTCACAAACCCCCCAACTGCTTCATGTGAGAGAATCTTCACTTGGGGGGCCCACCCTGTTATAATCAGCCCCTTCCCTTCAATTCTCTTTTCAAATCCTTCAGGCAACCAATCTTGTTGGTTTTCTTGATCATTGTTCTGTTTCTTGACAACCCAAATGAATTGCTGCCCTGAAGATTCAAGAGCCTTTGCAATCTCAAGCAGCTGGGCATCAACAAAATTGGACAAGCTTCCAAAACAGACATAAACAACTGAGTTGGGTTTCTTTGAATCAAGCCACTTTATGCACTCATGTTGTTCATCAATAGAGACTTTGTCTTCTTTTGCCCCCTCATTGCATATCCAAAGCGGGCCTATATGCCAAGCCTTGATCCCCAGAACATTTGTGTAATGATCAGCATACGCAGGTTCAAGCTCATAAAAGCTGTTAACAAGAACCCCATAGCTCCTCTGCTCAACTTTCTTACCTTCATCATACAATCTTGAAAAGTCATTTTCAACTCCATCTCTAACAAAATCAGGCAGCTTCTTTCTTGTCAGCTCAATCTCATCTGGTAAATTAGGAATAAAAAAGGTTTCTGAATCAGATGACACCTGTAAGCGAGGCATATACAAAAACATACAGAGTGTAGCACATAAGGAGAAACCACTGGTTCCATGGAATATGAGCGTTGGAATTCCAAACTTAGAAGCCACATCTGTAGCCCAAGGAAAGAACATGTCAGCCACAAGGCAATTGGGTCTATTTTGCTGCAAGAACTGCTCAAGCTGAGGCTCAAGCAAGCCTGCAGCTTTGAAAAACTTTCTTTGCATTTCAGGGGAAGTGGCCAAATGCAAGCTCTGGCAATTTTCTGGCAATCCAACCTCTAAAGTAGGCAAATCGATTGTGAAAATGTGAACTGGGGAAGTTGAATTTTCAATTTTTGTGTGGATGAAGGGTGCATCTAGAGGGGTGGAGATTATTGTTGCTTTGAGACCTCTGGAAACAAACAGTTTGGCCATGTCTATGAATGGGATTATGTGGCCTTGAGCCATGAAAGGGAAGAGAGCAACATGAAGCTGATGGCTTTTGGTTCCCATGGTTGTCTTGAAGACTTGAACTCTAAAACCTAACAGTTCTAGTGGATATCATTAACTATGTGATGGAGCTATATGTTCAGCTTGGAGTTATGATGTGTTTCTTCTAGCTTTCCCCACTTGGCAAGTTTTCAACCAATCACATAGTATATTAACCATAGGCAAAGCAAACACATGATATATTAATGAAAAATCGTGGCGGAGTCGGGAAATTTCCAGGAAATTGACAATGTTTAAAAGGTCAAAACCTCCAAAAACAAATTTGGGACAACTAAATATTCTTAGAATTTAAATAATAATAATTCCCTTAGATACATGGTTAGGCTCAACTAAAGGATTGGGGGGAGAATTCCCTTAGCTGTTTCAATCAAGTGCAGAGTCAATGACAAGAGGTAAGCTCGAGGCTTAAATAATAATAATTCCCTTTAACATGTCCAAAGTTCGGGTACTTTTCATCATTTTCCTACAAAATTATTATCATAAACTAGCACGTCAGAATCAAGTGCAGGTTTCGTTAGTCAAAATATGATTTCTCCCTAGATGACAAAATTAGATATTAAGTAAGTCAATGTCTTGTTCCCCAAACTTTCGTTTAAAAAATTGACACCTTATCGCACTAAAATTCAAAGATTTTGTTCATAATTGACTGATTAAACTAATTGTTTGCCATGGAAATAACAAGCCAAACACAATTTTTTAAGCTTCATGAGCCTTGCTTCCCAAGTCAAATTTACTGTTATATACCAACTCTATCAACCAGTTCTTTCAGTCAAGCCACAAATCTCTTGCAACTTAAAATGGATCAAAAAACCATCCAGCCCCACATTTTCTTCTTTCCCTATATGAGTCATGGCCACATGATACCAACCATAGACATGGCCAAACTATTTGCTTCCAAAGGCATCAAAACAACCATAATTTCTACTCCTCATAATTTGTCCCTCTTCTCCAAAGCAATTGAAAGAAGCAAACTTTCGGGTTTCGAAATTGGAGTTATTGCTCTCAAATTCCCAGCTGTGGAGGTTGGGTTGCCAGAAGGGTGTGAGAGTGCTCACATGGTTGAAACACAGGAAGAGCTCCAAAAATTCTTGAAGGCCTCAACTTTGCTTGATCAACAACTTGAGCAGCTCCTCAAAGAACACCAACCAAATTGCCTTGTGGCTGACATGTTTTTCCCATGGGCAACTGATGTTGCTGCTAAATTTGGAATCCCAAGGCTTGTTTTCCATGGCACAAGTTTCATTTCTTTATGTGTTACACACCATTTGATGAAAATGGACCTTTCAATAGTGTCTGATTCTGAACCTCTTGTCATTCCCAACTTACCACATGAGCACAAGCTTTCAGGAAACCAAATACCAGATTTCATGAAACAAGAATCTGAGTTGGGAAGTTTTGCCAAAGCAGCTGCAGAATCTGAGTGGAAGGGCCATGGGGTTCTTGTTAACAGCTTCTATGAGCTTGAACCAGCTTATGCTGACCATTACAGGAACTTTTTGGGAATCAAGGCTTGGCATATTGGACCTACTTTTTTATGCAATAAGGAGATTGAAGATAAGGCAAACAGAGGACCCAAAGCGTCCTTAGATGAACATGAATGCTTGAAGTGGCTAAGTTCTAAGGACCCCAATTCAGTAATTTATGTGAGCTTTGGAAGTGTGGTGAAGTTTGATGATGCTCAGCTCCTTGAGATTGCATTGGGTCTTGAGGCTTCAGGGCAGCAATTCATTTGGGTAGTGAAAAAAGAAAAGAGTGATCAAGAAAATAAAGAAGACTGGTTGCCTGAAGGGTTTGAGGACAGAGTTGAAGGCAGAGGACTTGTTATAAGAGGATGGGCTCCACAGGTGCCAATTCTTGAGCACCAAGCAACAGGAGGCTTTGTGACTCATTGTGGATGGAACTCCACCATGGAAGCAGTGACTGCTGGCGTGCCAATGGCCACGTGGCCTGCGTTCGCCGATCAGTTTTCCAGCGAAAAATTGGTGACTGAAATACTTGGAATTGGGGTTAGAGTGGTTGAGGGTGCTAAAAAATGGGCTAGGTTTGGAGGGGATAGAGTGAAGAAGGTAAATATAGAGAAGGCTGTGACAGAGGTTATGGTTGGTGAAGAGGCAGAGGGAATGAGAAGCAGAGCCAAGGTGCTTGGGGAAATGGCAAGAAAGAGTGTGGAGGAAGGTGGATCATCTTACAAGGATTTGAATGCCTTGATTCAAGAATTGGGGCTCCATAGAATTGCCCCTCCTCAGTCCTAATTGGAATATATACTTTTTTTTTGGAGCTAAACTATAGGGGAGGGGGATTTCTCAGGGGATATATATTTTGGCTTATGTGTATTATATAGGGCTTGTATAAACCATGAGCTGTTTCTAAAGAAATAAAATGTCACGGTTCAGAGGCAAATGTAAAAGGGCTGTATAATAAAAAAAAAAACACAAAAAAAAAAAAAAAAAAAAAAAAAAAAAAACAAAAAAACAAAAAAAAAAAAGAGGATAAAAAAAAAACTACTAATTCCCCTTAGACGCAATAAGAAATCAGTATTGTAAACCTGTAAATATTCATGAATTTTTTTTTAGCTCATGTGACATATTTGATGTGATTGGCTTTGATAAAAAGAAAGTTATTGTTATATTAACAAAAAAAATTCAAATGATCGTCCAGATGAATTCTTTTTAGCGTTACGATAACGCCGCCATTTAGTGTTACTAATTCATGTGTTGAAATTGGTATGGTGGTAATAATGATATTCATTGTGCCCAAGTCAGTTAAAGTTGAACCTTATCATTCTCACCTCCCTCATTTCTTCCCCTCTCCTCCACATCCCCATCGCCTTCTCCATGCCACTCAATCCCATTATGATGTTAGAGATAAGAAAAAACCATCAGAAAAATTATTGCCTCAAAATCATGATGTTCATGATGATATAGATTTAGGGAAGGACTTATTTCATTGGATTGGTTTGAGCATGGCAGTACAAGATGCAGTATGTACGATTAAGTGTGCACCCATAGCTATAGATAATGTCCAGTTTTTCTGGGTTTGCTACCATCAATGTTGGCTCGAGTCTTTTTTAAGACAGCTGCCTCCGAAAGCATGAGTATGGCTGCAAGTTTAGTGGTGTGGAATCCAAAAAGCCTGAAAATCTATGTATACTTCTAAGTTGATTCATTTCCATATGAGCAAACTAACTTGTATGAAATTTGGTGTATTTTATTTTTTGTGTCTATCACTCTCCTCACACAAACGACACACGGTTACATTGAGAAAATGACTATTTTATTTGTTAGATGATGCATTGTAGAAGGCTAATAGAGGTAGTGTGCTAACGAGGACAACAATGGTGAAAAATATTAGTGATGATGTAAGAACTCAAAATTTTATGATTAATTATACAATAGTCTCACAAACTAGAAGATGTCCCCAACGGTCCCTAGATCTGTTTAGAAGCATTTGGCACTTGTAAACTTATTTAGTTTAAAAGATATACATGTTTGGAGAAAATTTAAATTACAAACACCATATGTCATTATTGAAGATGATCAGAAACATATTATACATACTAGGTTTAATTAGTACTTAGTTAGAAGCAGTGCTATGGAGTCCCAATTCTTGAATCAAGGCATTCAAATCCTTGTAAGATGATCCGCCTTCCTGCACACTCTTTCCTGCCATTTCCCCAAGCCTCTTAGCTCTGCTTCTCATTTCCTCTGCTCTCTCCCCCACCATAATCTGTGTCACTACATTCTCTATGTTTCTCTTCCCCACTTTTTCCCCTCCAAATCTTTCCCATTTTTGAACACCTACCCCAATCCCAATCCCAAGTATTTGAGTCACCAACTTTTCATTATAAAACTGATCAGAAAAAGCTGGCCAAGTGGCCATTGGCACCCCAGCAGACACTGCTTCAATCACTGAGTTCCATCCACAATGAGTCACAAAGCCTCCAACTGCTTGGTGTTCAAGAATTGGCACCTGTGGAGCCCACCCTCTTATAACAAGTCCTCTGCCTTCCACTCTCTTCTCAAACCCTTCAGGCAACCAGCCCTCCTTATTTTCTTCTTCACTCTTTTCTTTCTTGACAACCCAAATGAATTGCTGCCCAGAAGCCTCAAGACCCAGTGCAATTTCAAGGAGCTGAGCATCATCAAATTTGATCACACTTCCAAAGCTCACATAAACTACTGAATTGGGTGTCTTGGAATTTAGCCACTTCAAACATTCATGTTCATCTAGGGAGGCATAAGTGTCCTTATTGCATAAAAATGTGGGACCAATATGCCAAGCCTTGATTCCCCAGAACTTCCTATAATGGTCAGCATAGGCTGGCTCAAGCTCATAGAAGCTATTAACAACCACCCCATAACTCCTTTTCTCTGTTTCTGCAGTCGATTCTAAAAATTTTCTCAACTCGGTTTTTTGTTTGAGGAAATTTGGTATCTGGGTTCTTGCAAGCTTGATCTCATCTGGTAAATCAGGAATTACTAGAGGCTCAGAATCAGACTTCAATAATGTTGAAAAGTCCATCTTGATCAAATGTTGTGAAATACATAAAGAGATGAAATTTATTCCATGGAAAACAAGCCTTGGAATTCCAAATTTGGCAGCAAGATCAGTTGTCCATGGAAAGCAATTATCAGCCACAAGGCAGTTGGGTTGGTGTTCTTCAAGGAGCTTTTCAAGTTGTTGATCAAGTAAGGAGGTCGCCTCCAAGAACTTTTGGAGCTCTTCCAGTGTTTCAACCATGTGACCACACTCACAGCCTTCTGGCAATCCAACCTCTACAAAAGGGAATTTGAGAAGAAGAACTCCAATCTTGAAACCCGACTCTTTGCTTCTTTCAATTGTTTGGGAGAAGAAGGCAATGTTTTGAGGAGTAGAAATTATGGTGTTTTGATGCCCCTTGAAGCAAATAGATTGGCCATGGCTATGGTTGGTATCATGTGGCCAGGTGCCATATAAGGGAAGAAAAAAATGTGAGATTGCTTGGCTTTAGTATCCATATTATCCAAATGATGGTTATGATTGGAGAAGAGATTGAATTGAGATAAGGCTTCATTGAAAGAGCTAGTTGATACACTTGGTACATTATATGGTACTTCGGGACTTGGGAGGAAAGGCACACAGATTAGAAAATGTGTTCAGTTTGTGTTGTCAATGTTTTACAGTCGGTCAATTCTGAACCTAACCTTCGGAAAATGGATACTTTATTAGGCTCCTAATGAAGAAAAAAAAAGTGATAATCCAATCTCCTTGTTGAAAATAATGAGAATTATGGAAAAATCTAGAAGCTTGAAGAAAATGTGTTAAGTGTATGCATTTTGAGTTTTTCTTTTGGCTTTCCTTGACAATATGTAATAGGACATACATTGTAATCACCCAAAGTCAAGTTTAGATTAAGAATAGTTTCTCTAAGTGTTCTAATCTGGCTACTATCTTATGGAAGATCAATCATATTGGCAAAGGTAATTTGTGCATTGCATCCTATTGCATTCATTAGATTTCTTAAGATTATGACTAGTCATCTTGTTTTCATATGACTAGTCATCCTTTGAATCAGTAGGATTTACAGCTCACTGGTTTCCAGTTGGACCGTAACAAAATTTTTTGTCAAATTCTGTGAATTTTCTCAGTTGCCATGTGTACTTTTTTGACCTAGGAATTTTTGGGTAAAAGCCAATGATTCCTCATTGGCAGCCGTCAACTTTGAGGTGAGGTTTTGAAAAGGTTTTTCCTATCCTTTTGCTCTCTCTTCTTCCTCAAGAGAAAACCACCATTTTCATCTATGAGTTTTCTAAATTGATTTTTCGAAAACAGCTTTTGAAATATGAAATCTGCATCTAACTAGAACAAACACATGCTCATATACATCTAGGTTAGATTCAAGATTGGTTTCTTCAAGAGAGTGGTTTCTTGAAGAAATTGGTTATTTTTTCCTTGAATCCAAATTTGGTTTACGTCTGAGTTTGAGTTGGCTAGTTGGTGCCATGGGATGAAAAGCTTAAGGAGGAGCTGTCATTGCCATGAAGAACTAAGCTGCTAGTTTTGCTAAGTTGGAGAAGACGATTGCACAATAGAGGTATAGCTTATCTTCCTAAATAGATCTAGGATTTCTTGAGCTTTCTTGTGTTTCTTTGTAAGAATCTTCTTTGCTTAGTGGATTGTTTGGTCGGTTGATGATCCCCAGTTTTTCCCTGTGGTGGGTTTCTGGGTGAACAATTTCTGGTTTGCAGCTTCGTTACTTTCTGGGTTTGTGTTCTTGATAGTTGACTAGTCATCACATGATGTTCATGCATTTGGAGTTTGTGTTCTTGTGGTTGACTAGTCATCATTATCTGCTATTTGTTGTTTACTTGATTATGATTTTTCACATACTTTCACCATAGTTGTTGCTAGCACAGGAGATGCCTAGATTGACGGGTCCTTCTGAGTGCATATGTTGTCACTAGTAATCTTCTAGGTTTGCAGGTACAGATTGTTATGCTCTGTGTGTGTGTTCTTGGTTATGGTTTTTCATGACTAGCAGTTGACTAGTCATAAGTATATTTGGTCAATATTTAAAGTGTGTGAAGATCATTATGTCTGTTTAAATAGAATTTTAATATACTCATTGTCACCTAAGTACCAATTACAAAATGCTATAATCTTCACGGCAGTGTTGGCAGCCACAAACATAAATGAAAATAGTAGAAAATTCTAGACAAGAGCCATAGTATACTCTGGCTGGAATTACATGTTGAAGAGTTTGCTATACAACAGACCTATCTAGTGGGTTCAATAATCTATAAATAGGCATTAAACCTTCTCATTGTAATTAAGCTAGAAGCTAGCAACCTAAACTAATAAGTTAGCTATCTAGCTAGTTAACTCAAGGTGGTGAGGATTAGCCAAGAGTATTGTGCGGAAACACTCCAAGACCTTGTCGTTGATGAACTATACGACGACACACATAGACCCGTTGAGAATAAAGTACACACACAAACCCCTTTGAGAATAAAGCACACACACAAACCCCTTTGAGAATAAAGCACACACACACCGTGAAGAGAATAAAGCACACACACAAGAACACAAAGATTTATAGGAGTTCGGCCTCGTGCCTATGTCATTTTGGGGATCCACCCGAGAAATTCATTAGTATGTAAAAATGACTTTGGTTACAATCTAGAATTCCCTTAGCTCTCACAAGAACCCTAACTTTCTTTTCTCTCACCCTTACTCAAACCCTTTAATGCCCTTGTAAACACCCTAGAATTCCAATTCCAACAAGCGATTGAAATGATGGTTATGATTGGAGAAGAGATTGAACTGATAAGCCTTGACTGAAAGAGCTAGGAGATACACTTGGTATATTGTAGTACTTTGGGACTTGGGAGGAAAGACACACAGGGCTTTAAAAAAATGTGTTCAGTTTCTGTAGTCAATGATTTACAATAAGTTAATCTGTCAGTTTTGAACCTAGCCTTCGAAAATGTATACATTTTGGTTTTGTTCTCTCTTATTTGGCTCCTACTGAAGAAGAGTAGTGATCATCTAATCTCCTCTCCTTGTACCCTTCAAAACAAGGAGGTTTGTATTTATTTTATTTTGTACATACATAATTTATTTAACTGAATCTTAAAGGTCCAGGGCTTTGTATCTTCTTCCCAATACATAGATGCCTCCAGTTTTGCATTAGGATTCTATTAACATATTATACTCACAATTCTGTTGCTAAAGATTTAGAATAGAAACTTTTCCTTCCCAATGATAAAAAACAAAAAACAAAAACACACATACAGACAAAAACGTTAGTTGTTTGGGTAAAGCTTCAAGCCTTAAGGGACTTCAACTCTTCAATAAGTGCAGTTAAATCTGAGAAAGATGAACCACCTTCTTCAACAGCCCTCCTTGCCATCTCTCGAAGCGCCTTGGCTCTGCTTCTGATTTCCTCTGCTTCATCACCAACCATGATTTCAGTCACAGCCTTCTCTATGGCCTCTCTCTTCACACTGGCTTCCTGCTTCACATCTACAAATGTAGCCCACTGTTGAACACCAACAGCAACCCCAATTCTCAGTATCTCAGTCAACAACTTCTCATTGTAAAATTGTTCGGCGGACACGGGCCATGTGATCATTGGCACCCCAGAGGAAACTCCTTCAAGGATAGAGTTCCACCCACAGTGAGTCACAAAGCCTCCAATTGCTTCATGCTCAAGAATCAGCACTTGTGGAGCCCAACCTCTTATAATTAGTCCCTTACCTTCCATTCTCTTTTCAAACCCTTCAGACAACCACTCTTCCTTTTCTTTCTTTTCTTTCTTCACAACCCAAATGAATTCCCTCCCACTTGCCTCAAGCCCCAATGCAATTTCAAAGAGCTGAGGATCAGTGAAATTGGTCATGCTTCCAAAACATATGTAAACAACTGAATTGGGTTTCTTAGAATTAAGCCAATTCAAGCACTCATGTTCATCAAGGGAGGCTTCCATTCCCCTCATCTCTGCTTTATCCTCTACTGCCTTGTTACATAACGAAACCGGGCCTATATGCCATGCCTTCCTCCCAAACACCTTCCTGTAATGATCTGCATAAACTGGTTCAAGTTCATAGAAGCTGTTAACAATAACGCCATAGCTCCTTTCCTCGCACGCTTTGGATGCTTTATACAACTTGGTGAATTCTGTTTCAACATTTGTCTTGAGAAAAGCCGGTATTTGGCTTCCTGTCAGCTTAATCTCAACTGGAAAATTAGGAATATTAAAAACTTCTGAATCAGATGAAACCTTCAAGTGAGGCTCATACAATATCACACTAAGTGAAGCACATAAAGGGAAGAAACCAGTGCCATGAAATATGAGCCTTGGAATACCAAACTTGGCAGCAACATCTGTGGCCCAAGGAAAGAAAGTGTCTGCAAGGAGGCAGTGAGGGCGCTGTTGGTCCAAAATCTGCTCAAGCTGTGTCTGGAGAAGGGTGGTAGCTCTGAAGAACTTTTCCTTCATCTCATTGGTTGTAGCCAAGCTAGCGCTTTCACATCCCGGAGGCAACCCAACTTCTTCAGTTGGGAATCTGATGACAATAAGTTCAATTTTGAACCCCAATTCTTTGCTGCTTTGGATTGCTTTTGAGAAAAGTGGTGCATTGAGAGGAGTGGTTATTAGGGTGGATTTTACACCATGAGAAGCAAATATTTTGGCCATGTCTATGAGAGGTATGCTATGGCCTTGAGCCATATATGGAAAGAAGAAAATGTGAAGCTGCTCATGGGATTTTGTTTCCATGGGAACTCTGGTAGACAGGCACAACAATAATGATGCTGATGAAATATAAGATACAGAGACTTGGGAGGGGAGAGAAGGGCTTGTTTTCTTTTGAAAAATGCTTCTTTAAGGTAAGCCAAAAATGACTTTGCTATCTCTTTGCATGCGTAGTCTCTTACATCATTTGTTCACATTACAGGTCTATTTTAGTATTCTTTTAAGATATTAGTCTGATTCTATCTACATAGGAACGATCATAATAATTTATTTAATCCTCCGACCATACCAATCAAATATGCTGAATGATTTAAGAGAAGAATTCAAAGAAAATAAAAAATAAAAAATTATTGATCAGTAATACTTAAAATATTCTTTTTAATCTCTAACGGAGCGAATCGAAGATATTTACAAACAACTCTTACAATGGTCCAATACAATCACAACAAAGCTATACCTCTATGATATTAATTAAGTCACTATAAGATCTGGTTTACAAGAAAATTGTTCAAGACCTTTTGTGCGATGCTCTGGTTTTTTTATTTTTTGTTGACATGCATCTAATAAAAGCGTTTCTGACAAAGAAGTGTTATTTACATAAATACTCCCAAATGGCCTGAAAAAAAATTGTGGGAATAGAATACCTTGTATATATGACCTTGATTTTTACATTTGTGTTTCATCTCCCAAATGGTCTCATCATGGGTCCCAAAAAAAAACATTGAGTCAAAATATGAAAATTAAGTAGAAAAAATCAGTGCTCAATGCATAATTCTTTCATAAGAAACTGTTCTTGCTAGATTGTATCACAAAAGATTGTCAATCTCATTTGAATGTGTGGTCCAACCTTAATTATGGGAGAGCATTCAAATAAAACTCAGAATTATTTGGAGATATCCAATATCATTTAAACTCTCATGTAAGATTTACACTCTCAAACACGCCAACCCCAGGTTTTAGCACTTGGATCACCAACTTCTCATTATAAGATTGCTCATCAGATACCGGCAATGTGATCATTGGCACCCCAACAACAGTTCCTTCAATTGTTGAGTTCCACCCACAATGTTAAAAGCAAAAGAACACAAAATGGTGGTATTTTTTCTATAAAGCTTCAAGCTCAAAGGGATCTCAACTCTTCAATTAGAGCAGTTAAATCTGAGAAAGATGAACCACCTTCTTCAACAGCCCTTCTTGCCATCTCCCCAAGTGCCCTTGCTCTGCTTCTCATTCCCTCTGCTTCATCACCCACCATGACTTGAGCCACAGCCTTCTCTATGGCGTCCCTCTTCACACTTGCTTCCTTCTTCACATCTACTAATGAAGCCCATTTTTCAGAACCAATAGCAACCCCCAATTCTCAGTATCTCAGTCACCAACTTCTCATTGTAAAACTGCTCGGCAGACACGGGCCATGTTATCATTGGCACCCCAGAAGACACTCCTTCAAGGATAGAGTTCCACCCACAGTGAGTCACAAAGCCTCCAATTGCTTCATGCTCAAGAATCAGCACTTGTGGAGCCCAACCTCTTATAATTAGTCCCTTACCTTCCATTCTCTGTTCAAACCCTTCAGGCAACCACTCTTCCTTTTCTTTCTTTTCTCTCCTCACAACCCAAATGAATTCCTTCCCAGAAGCCTTAAGCCCCAATGCAATTTCAAGGAGCTGAGGATCACTGAAATTGGTCAGGCTTCCAAAACATATGTAAACAACTGAATTGGGTGTCTTAGTATTGAGCCAATTCAAGCACTCATGTTCATCAAGGGAGGCTTCCAATCCCCTCATCTCAGCTTTATCCAATGCTGCCTTGTTACATAAGGAAACCGGGCCTATATGCCATGCCTTCCTCCCAAACACCTTCCTATAATGATCTGCATAAACTGGTTCAAGTTCATAGAAGCTGTTAACAATAACCCCATAGCTCCTTTCCTCACAGGCTTTGGATGCTGCAAACAACTTGGGTGAATTCTGTTTCAACCTTTTTCTTGAGAAAAGCCGGTATTTGGCTTCCTGTCAGCTTGATCTCAACTGGGAAATTAGGAAGAGTAAAAACTTCTGAATCAGATGAAACCTTCAAGTGAGGCTCATACAATATCACACTAAGTGTAGCACATAAAGGGAAGAAACCAGTGCCATGAAATATGAGCCTTGGAATACCAAACTTGGCAGCAACATCTGTGGCCCAAGGAAATAAAGTGTCTGCAAGGAGGCAGTGAGGGCGCTGTTGGTCCAAAATATGCTCAAGCTGTGGCTGGAGAAGGGTGGTAGCTCTGAAGAACTTTTGCTTCATCTCATTGGTTGTAGCCAAGTTAGAGCTTTCACATCCCGGAGGCAGCCCAACTTCTTCAGTTGGGAATCTGATGACAATAAGCTCAATTTTGAACCCCAATTCTTTGCTGCTTTGGATTGCTTTTGAGAAAAGTGGTGCATTGAGAGGAGTGGTTATTAGGGTGGATTTTACACCATGAGAAGCAAATATTTTGGCCATGTCTATGAGAGGTATGCTATGGCCTTGAGCCATATATGGAAAGAAGAAAATGTGAAGCTGCTCATGGGATTTTGTTTCCATGGGAACTCTGGTAGACAGACACAATAATAATGATGCGGATTATAAGATATAGAGACTTGGGAGGGGAGGGAAGGGTTTGTTTCTTTTTTAAAAATGCTTCTTTAAGGCAAGCCAAAAATGACTTTGCTATCTCTTTGCATGCGTAGTCTCTTACATCATTTGTTCACATTACAGGTTTATTTTAGTATTCTTTTAAGATATTAGTTTGATTCTATCTACATAGGAACGAACGATCATAATAATTTATTTAATCCACCAACCTTACCGATCTAATATGCTGAATGAATGGTCAACAAAAAAACAAACAACTTTTAATCAAACTATGAAAATTAAATAGAACAAATCAGTGCTCAATGCATAATTCTTTCATAAGAACCTGTTCTTGCAAGATTGTATCACAAAAGATTGTTAATCTCATTTGAATGTGTGGTCCAACCTTAATTATGGGACCTCAATGCTTCAATTAGAGCATTCAAATCAAACTCAAAATTAATTGGAGATATCCAATATCATTTAAACTCTCATGTAAGAATTGCAATGTGATCATTGCACTCTCAACACACCAACCCCAATTTTTAGCACTTGGGTCACCAACTTCTCATTATAAGATTGCTCATCAGATACCAGCAACGTGATCATTGGCACCCCAACAACAGTTCTTTCAATTGTTGAGTTCCACCCACAATGTTAAAAGCAAAAGAACACAAAATGGTGGTATTTTTTCTATAAAGCTTCAAGCTCAAAGGGATCTCAACTCTTCAATTAGAGCAGTTAAATCTGAGAATGATGATCCGCCTTCTTCAACAGCCCTCCTTGCCATCTCCCCAAGTGCCCTTGCTCTGCTTCTCATTTCCTCTGCTTTATCACCCACCATGACTTGAGCCACAGCCTTCTCTATGGCGTCCCTCTTCACACTTGCTTCCTTCTTCACATCTACTAATGGAGGCCCATTTTTCAGAACCAACAGCAACCCCAATTCTCAGTATCTCAGTCACCAACTTCTCATTGTAAAACTGCTCGGCAGACACGGGCCATGTTATCATTGGCACCCCAGAAGACACTCCTTCAAGGATAGAGTTCCACCCACAGTGAGTTACAAAGCCTCCAATTGCTTGATGCTCCAGAATCAGCACCTGTGGAGCCCCAACCTCTTATAATTACTCCCTTGCCTTCCATTCTCTGTTCAAACCCTTCAGGCAACCACTCTTCCTTTTCTTTCTTTTCTTTCTTCACAACCCAAATGAATTCCTGCCCATAAGCCTCAAGCCCCAATGCAATTTCAAGGAGCTGAGGATCACTGAAATTGGTCATGCTTCCAAAACATATGTAAACAACTGAATTGTGTTTCTTAGTATTGAGCCAATTCAAGCACTCATGTTCATCAAGGGAGGCTTCCATTCCCCTCATCTCTGTTTTTTCCCCTGCTGCCTTGTTACATAAGGAAACTGGGCCTATATGCCATGCCTTCCTCCCAAACACCTTCCTGTAATGGTCTGCAAAAGCTGGCTCAAGTTCATAGAAAGTGTTAAAAATAATCCCATAGCTCCTTTCCTCACACTCCCTGGATTCTTTTAACAACTTGGACAAGAATGGATTAGCATTTTGCTCAAATATTGGTACTTGGTTCCGTGTGATCTTGATCTCAACCGGGAGATTAGGAATAGTAAAAACTTCTGAATCAGATGATACCTTCAAGTGAGGCTCATACAATATCACACTAAGTGAAGCACACATAGGGAAAAAACCAGGTCCATAAAATATGAGCCTTGGAATCCCAAACTTGCCAGCAACGTCTGTAGCCCAAGGAAAGAATGAATCAGCAATGAGGCAGTGAGGTCGATGTTGATCTAAAATCTGCTCAATCTGTGGTTCAAGCAGGAAGGTAGCTTGGAAGAACTTTTCTTTCATCTCATGGGTTGTAGCCATGCTAGTAATCTCAAATCCTTGAGGCAACCCAACTTCAATAGCTGGAAATTGGATGACAAGAATTTCAATCTCAAACCCCAAATTTTTGCTGCTTTGGATTGCTTTTGACAAAGGTGGTGCATTGAGAGGAGTGGTTATTAAGGTGGATTTTACACCACGAGAAGCAAATAATTTGGCTATGTCTATGAGAGGTATGCTGTGGCCTTGAGCCATATATGGAAAGAAGAAAATGTGAAGCTGCTCATGGGATTTTGTTTCCATGGGGACTTTGATGGAAGGACTGTTGTTGTAGTGCACAAAGCAGACAGGTACAATAAGAATGATGGAGATGAAGTGCTTATTTCTTTTTCAAAAATGCTTCTTTAAGCCAAGCCAAGAATGACTTTTGCTCTCTCATTGCATGCGTAGTCTCTTACATCATTTATTAGTATTTTTTTAAAGATTTTAGTTTGATTCAAGAAAGAAAACGAACAAGTTTTTAGTCAAAATATGATAATTAAATAAATTCAATGGTCAACATGCATCGTTATCTTAAAAGAAAATATACTTGCTAGATTGTGTCAAAAAAGATGCTAATCTAAATTATTTATCAAGTGAACTCTCATTGGAATGTGTGGTCCAACTTTAACTATGGGAACTCAATTCTTCAATTAGAGCTTTAACAAAAGCTTCTCCTTTATTGATCACTAACACATATTAGAATGCGATTATCAAACTAAAAATTATTGGAGAGGCCCAATATTTTTTACACTCATATTCGAGACACTAATTTTCCAATGTGGGATTTACACACTCAACCCGCTAACCCCAATTTTTAACATGTCTCCTTAAAAAATTGCTCATCATGTGATCATTGGCACCCCAACAGCAATTCCTTCCAATGTTGGCACGTCTGTCTAAAGCTTCAACCTCTAAGGGACATCAACTCTTCAACAAGAGCAGTTAGATCTGAGAATGATGAATCGCCTTCTTCAACAGCCCTCCTTGCCATCTCCCCAAGTGCCCTGCCTCTGCTTCTCATCTCCTTTGCTTCACCCCTCACCATGACTTGAGTCACAACCTTCTCTAGGCTTCCCTCTTCACACTGGGCTTTCTTCTTCACCTCTAGAAATTCAGCCCATTGTTGAGCACCAAAAGAAACTCCAGTTCTAAGAATCTCAGTCACCAACTTCTCATTGTAAAACTACTGGGCAAACACGGGCCATGTGATCAAGGGCGGAACCATGAATTTTTCAATGGTAGGCTAGCTAAAGTTATTAGCTTAAAATCTAATGATAATTATTTTTTTGTACTAACAGTTTCTATAATTTTTCTAGAAATAAAAGTATACATTAAATCATATAAATCAAGCTAGTTATAAACACAAGAAAAAAAATAATGAATTAGAGCCATATTATTCACAAAAGTGTGAATTTTATTTAGAAAAATGTTTCTTTTTCAAAGATACGTTAATGAAAAAGAATTAAAATTGATGTTTGGGACAAGCTCTGACACCAAATACAAATGTGGAAGACCTTTGACTATTGGTGTGGTAGGATATGCAATTATATATATATATATATATATTATTTATTTTTAGTTTGAGATATTAGGCTATATATGTTTAATTAATTTTACCCAAAACCTTCCCAGGCTACAGCCCTTGGGCTAGTTCCGGCCCTGCATGTGATCAGTGACACCCCAGCAGACACCCCTTCAAGGATAGAGTTCCACCCACAGTGAGTAAAAAAGGCTCCAATTGCTTGATGCTCAAGAATCAGCACTTGTGGAGCCCAACCTCTTCTAATTAGTCCCTTAACCTTGCATTTTCTGTTCAAATCCTTCAGACAACCACTCTTCCTTTTCTTTCTTTTCTTTCTTCACAACCCAATGAATTCCTTCCCACAACCCTCAAGCCCCAGTGCAATTTCAAGGAGCTCACAAGTGAAATTGAACATGCTTCCAGAACATATGTACAGAACTGAATTTGGTTTCAATGATTGTGAGCTCCTTGCAATTGCATAGATCATCCTTTCAAAATCAGGAAAATTAAAATCATTCCGGCATCTAGTTGGGACTTACAAAATAAATGAACACGGTACTTCAAGAAAATACAATAATAACAACCATCTAATTGAGTGGTAAAATGATTTAGGATTCTTTTTTGTTTTTGTTTTTTGTTTTTTTTGTTTTTTTGTTTTTTTGCAAAGATGATCTTTGAGAAATATCTAAAAACTGAACGGTTCAGATCATTGAAATACAATGTATGGTGAGCCCTACAAGGGTGTCCTTCAAATAAGCTTGTCACTCAAATTTTTCTTATATATATGACAAAAAGACACAGGGAAAAAAAAACTGAAGTCCTTTTCAATACTTACTATGGGACCTATGTGACCTCAGTTCTTCAATTAGGGCATTCAATCAGAGTATGATGATCCTCCTTTTTCAATAGCCCTCCTTGCCAGCTCTCTTAGTCCCCTGGCTCTGCTTCTCATTTCCTCTGCTTCATCACCCACCATGACTTGAGCCACAGCCTTCTCTATAGCGTCCCTCTTCACACTTGCTTCCTTCTTCACATCTACTAATGAAGCCCATTTTTCAGAACCAACAGCAACCCCAATTCTCAGTATCTCAGTCACCAACTTCTCATTGTAAAACTGCTCGGCAGACACGGGCCATGTTATCATTGGCACCCCAGAAGACACTCCTTCAAGGATAGAGTTCCACCCCACAGTGAGTTACAAAGCCTCCAATTGCTTGATGCTCCAGAATCAGCACCTGTGGAGCCCAACCTCTTATAATTACTCCCTTGCCTTCCATTCTCTGTTCAAACCCTTCAGGCAACCACTCTTCCTTTTCTTTCTTTTCTTTCTTCACAACCCAAATGAATTCCTGCCCATAAGCCTCAAGCCCCAAAGCAATTTCAAGGAGCTGAGGATCACTGAAATTGGTCAGGCTTCCAAAACATATGTAAACAACTGAATTGATTTTCTTAGTATTGAGCCAATTCAAGCACTCATGTTCATCAAGGGAGGCTTCCATTCCCCTTATCTCTGTTTTATTCCCTACTGCCTTGTTGCATAAGGAAACCGGGCCTATATGCCATGCCTTCCTCCCAAACACCTTCCTGTAATGATCTGCAAAAGCTGGCTCAAGTTCATAGAAAGTATTAACAATAATACCATAGCTCCTTTCCTCACACTCTCTGGATTCTTTGAACAACTTGGACAAAATTGTATCAGCATTTTTCTCCAACATAGTCGGTACTTGGTTTCGTGTCATCTTGATTTCAACCGGGAGATTAGGAATAGTAAAAACTTCTGAATCAGATGATACCTTCTTTTGAGGCTCCTTCAATATGACAATGGTTGCAGCACACAAAGGGAAAAAACCAGGTCCATGAAATATGAGCCTTGGAATTCCAAACTTGGCAGCAACGTCTGTAGCCCAAGGAAAGAATGAATCAGCAACGAGGCAGTGAGGTCGGTGTTGGTCTAAAATCTGCTCAATCTGTGGCTCAAGCAGGAAGGTAGCTTTGAAGAACTTTTCTTTCATCTCATGGGTTGTAGCCATGCTAGTAATCTCAAATCCTTGAGGCAACCCAACTTCAATAGCTGGAAATTGGATGACAAGAATTTCAATCTCAAACCCCAAATTTTTGCTGCTTTGGATTGCTTTTGACAAAAGTGGTGCATTGAGAGGAGTGGTTATTAAGGTGGATTTTACACCATGAGAAGCAAATAATTTGGCTATGTCTATGAGAGGTATGCTGTGGCCTTGAGCCATATATGGAAAGAAGAAAATGTGAAGCTGCTGATGGGGTTAGTTTCCATTTGTTACACAATGATTTTGGTGATAAAGTTTGAATTGACCCTTAAAAATGAACTGAAAATGTGAAGCTTCTGGTGGGCTTTAGTTTCCATTTATATAAGTAAGAGACTTAGACTTGGGAGGCCTTGTTGTTGTTGTGTTTTTTGTTTTTGTTTTATTTCTGTGGCAAGGCTTTGTTGTTGGGTTCGATGGGAAACTAGTTTGGATTGCAATAAATTATTTGTTAAGTGAACATTATTACATGAGTAACAGGCAAAGCTGGTTCTTAAGGCAAGACAAAAGTGGTTTTGTTATCTGATTACAACCGAATATGCCGAATGAATTCAGAAGAGACAAATAGATAGAACAAATGCATCCCATACAAACCAAAGTGGTGATAGTGAGAGTGACCCAATTAATTAAGCTATTGTAAGGTTAATTAACTTTTTGATGTGGGACATGTTTTTAAATCCTCACACGCCCTCACGTGTGACGAAATTTCAAACTTAATATGTGGATGAACCTGATTCTGATACCATGTAAGAGTAGAAAGAAAAGAGAGAACACAGATTGGGAAAATGCTAAATTGATTCTTCTATTAATCTGAATGAGTAGAAGTGTTGTTACAAGGAAAACTTTCTTTTGATCTTTTTTATTTTAAAGTTAGCCTGCCATATGAGAATATTTTATCAAAAGGAAATAGGATCAACAACTTGTCTAAGATATGCTGAAGATACTCACAGAAAGAAACTACAATCTAAGGCTCTAAGCTTGTTCTAAACTTTGAACAAACCATTCTTATTTAGTCAAACAAATGCTGGTATTTTGGCTAAAGCTTTAAGCTCCAAGGGACCTCAACTCTTCAATTAGAGCAGTTAAATCTGAGAATGATGAGCCACTTTCTTCAACAGCCCTCTTTGCCATCTCTCCAAGTGTCCTGGCTCTGCTTCTCATTTCCTCTGCTGCATCACCCACCATGACTAGAGTCACAGCCTTCTCTATGGCTTCCCTCTTCACACTGGCTTCCTTCTTCACATCTACAAATGAAGCCCACTGTTTAGAACCAACAGCAACCCCAGTTCTAAGTATATCAGTCACCAACTTCTCATTGTAAAACTGCTCGGCGGACACCGGCCACGTGATCATTGGCACCCCAGAAGACACTCCTTCAAGGATAGAGTTCCACCCACAGTGAGTCACAAAGGCTCCAATTGCTTGATGCTCAAGAATCAGCACTTGTGGAGCCCAACCTCTTATAATTTTTCTTTCTTTTCTTTCTTCACAACCCAAATGAATTCCTGCCCAGAAGCCTCAAGCCCCAATGCAATTTCTAGCAGCTCAACATCAGCAAAATTGGTCAGGCTTCCAAAACATATGTAAACAACTGAATTGGGTTTCTTAGAGTTTAGCCAATTCAAGCACTCATGTTCATCAAGGGAGGCTTCCATTCCCCTTATCTCTGTTTTATCCTGTGCTGCCTTGTTGCATAGCGAAACTGGGGCCTATATGCCATGCCTTCCTCCCAAAAACATTCCTGTAATGATCTGCAAAATCTGGCTCAAGTTCATGGAAAGTGTTAACAATAATCCCATAGCTCCTTTCCTCAATCTCTCTGGATTCTTTGAACAATTTGGTCATTATTGATTCAGAATTTTTCTCAGAAAGACTCCGTATTTGGGTTCGTGTCATCTTGATCTCAACTGGGAAATTAGGAATAGTAAAAAGTTCTGAATCAGATTCCACCTGCTTGTGAGGCTGATGCAATATCACAGTCTGTGAAGCACACGAAGGGAAAAAACCAGTCCCGTGAAAAATGAGCCTTGGAATTCCGAACTTGGCAGCAACATCTGTAGCCCAAGGAAAGAAAGAATCAGCAACAAGGCAGTGAGGGCGGTGCTGGTCTAAAATCTGCTCAATCTGTGGCTCAAGCAGGAAGGTGGCTTTGAAGAACTTTTCCTTCATCTCAATTGTTGTAGCCAAGTTACTACTGCTTTCACATCCTTGAGGCAACCCAACTTCCTCAGTTGGGAATTTGATAACAAGAAGTTCAATTTCAAACCCCAAATTTTTGCTGCTTTGGAGAAGAGTGGTGCATTGACAGGGGTGGTTATCAGGGTGGATTTTACACCATGAGAAGCAAATAGCTTGGCTATGTCTATGAAGGGTATGTTGTGGCCTTGAGCCATGAATGGAAAGAAGAACATGTGAAGCTGCTGATGAGATTCAATTTCCATGGGGCCTTGGGAGGATATAGCTGTGATGCACAAAGTTTTAAGGTGCTGAAGTAGCAGATAAGTTTAGGTGAGTTGGCGAAGCAGTATGTCGGCTTTTTGCACTTGAGTCTATCCTCTTTTCAATACGTTGAAATAGTTTTAAAAAGTGAAATTGGCTAAAATAGTCCCTTTTTACAACTTCTATTCTAAAATAGCCCCTTTACGTTAAAGAGACATTATAGGAACAAACAAAGAACTATAGGGACAACAAAGAGGGAAATATAAACCTACGGAGTCTAGTCCAGTGGAAAAAGACATTGATTTGTATACTAGAGGTCTTAGGTTCGAATCCTCACAACATTATAGTTGTATGTGTATGAGAAATTCCCCTCCCTCTAGTTTAGACTATCGTTTATACTATAAAAAAAAACAAAAAAACAAACAAACAAAAAGGGAATTATAAGGACAACAAAGAGACACTTTATGAAACAGGGACTATTATAGAATAAAAGTTGTGAAAATGGACTATTTTAACACAAACCCCTTTAAAAAACTGCCTTGAAAAATTAATAAAACTCAGCATAAGTAAGATAGAGACTTGGGACTGGGAGGGACGAGGGAGTGCTTTGTTGTTTCTTTTTCATTATTTTTTATTTTTTGACAAGCAAAAACTAAAAAATAATTATTAAAGCCAAGATTCTAATTGACAAGCAAAAATGATTCTTTAAGTTAAAGCGAGACCCAAAAATATGGCTCGTTATCTCATTGCATACGTAGTGTCTTACATCATTTGTTCACATTGCGGCTTCCTTTTAGTATTTTTAGGAGATTAGTTCGACTCAATCTACATAAACAAACAAACTTTATTTTAAAACTTCTTGTTTTTACTCTCTTAACTTGTTATTTAACCCAGAATACCTGCCGAAGTGAATTAAAAATGACAAAAGAAAAAGAAAACGAAGGTCCCTATCTCTATAGCTTATTTTATTGAAACGACCAAAAAAAATTAATCTCAACTTCGAATCCCCATAACACCATAACACATTGGTAAACAAAATTGAGACGCAAAGAAATGTGACGTTCGGATTTTTTGTTGATTGAATCATGCTCCTCATTTCAAGGGCGCCACCAAGCCAAAGCATACAAAACAAGTCAACTATGAAAATCAAATAAAATAAACCGATCTCCTCAAAATGCATCATTGTTTTATGAGTAAATGTTCTTGCTAGATTGTTAATCTACAATATTCATCAACTGAGGTCGCATTATTCAATGTGGGGTCCAAATTTAACTATGGGAACTCATCAGCTCTTCAATGAGAGCATTCAAATCAGAATGGGATGATCCTCCTGTTTCAATAGCCCTCCTTGCCTGCTCTGCTAGTCCCTTGGCTCTGCTTCTCATTTTCTCTGCTTCTTCTCCCACCATAATCTGAGTCACAGCTTTCTCAATAGCTTCGTTCTTCACGCTATCCCCCACAACTCTAATCCATTTCTGAGTACCAACACCAACTCCAATTTTCAGCACTTGGGTCACCAACTTCTCATTGTAAAATTGCTCTGCAGACACCGGCCATGTCACCATAGGCAACCCAGCAGCAATTCCTTCCAATGTTGAATTCCACCCACAATGAGTCACGAAACCCCCAACAGCCCCATGATCAAGAATCAGGACTTGTGGAGCCCACCCTCTTATGATTAGTCCTTTTCCTTCCATCCTCTCTTCAAACCCTTCAGGCAACCAATCCTCTTTGCTCACATCATCCTCATCTTTGCCTTTCCTCACAACCCAAACGAAATCCACCCCAGAGGCTTCAAGCCCAATTGCAATCTCCTTCAGCTGAGAATTGTTGAACTTAGCCACACTCCCAAAGCAAACATAAACAACTGAATTGGGTTTCTTTGAATCAAGCCACTTCAAACATTCATGCTCATCAATGGATGCTTCCTTTCCTCTGTATGCTTTTTCTTCATTTTCCCTGTTGCACAGAGAAAGAGGACCAATATGCCATGCCTTCTTCCCCAACACCTTTCTGTAATAATCGGCATAAACTGGTTCAAGTTCATAGAAACTGTTGACAACAATCCCATAGCTCCTCACCTCAGCTTCCTTGGACTGTTTCAGCAACCGGGTCAAGTCATTTTCAATATTGTCCTTAATAAAACTAGGCACCTGGGCTCTTGTCATCTTGATCTCCCCTGGAAGATCAGGAATCACAAAGGGTTCTGAATCAGATGAAGTGTTCTTGAAAGGCTCATATCGCCTCACACAATCTGATGCAGCCAAAGCAAAGAAACTAGTCCCATGAAAAACTAGTCTCGGTATGCCAAATTTTGCAGCGGCATCAGTCGCCCAAGGAAAAAACATGTCAGCCACAAGGCAAGTCGGTTGGTCTTCAAGTAGAAGCCGTTCGAGCGGTTCCTGGAGCAAGCCCGCTGCTTTAAAGAAACTATCTGCTAATACTGGTGTGGAGGGGAGTGAGTCCAGATTCTCACACCCTTCTGGCAGCCCAGCCTCTTGAGAAGGGAACTTGATGGTTTTGATTTCAATTTCGATGCCGCCGGAGTTGGTTTTACTTGATCGGATGGCTTTAGAGAATGTTGGGGCGTTTAGAGGGGTTGTGATTATGGTTGTCTTCACTCCTTGAGCTGCAAATAGCTTGGCCATGTCTGAGACTGGAATCATATGGCCATGAGCCATGAAGGGGAACAAGAATACATGGAAATCTCGGTTTTGACTACCCATGTTTGGGGATAGAAATGAAGATGAAGAAGTATAGGGTTTTAGAAAAATTGGGGTGGAGATGGTCTGTGTTTATATTTGTGGTTGTGAAACTTTTATGGACATGTAGATTATATATAGAAGTAGGCTCTGTCAGGATACGAAGCTACCAAGAAGAAGAGGAAGAAATTTTGGCTGAAATTGCCCAAGTCGGTGTCAGATAATAGACTAGCTAGGCATCTCACAAGTCTCCCCAATGCCACAGATGTGTCGGATGCCGAACAGATGACAATTCATGGTAATGTTTACAACTAGGGTAAGTTTGGCATTTTGCTAAAAGCAAGAGGGGCACTAGATTTTCAGTGTAGAAGAAATTTAAAAGTGTTTTTCATGTGATGATGAAAAATGACATGTCATTTTGTCAAGGTAAACTACAGAACACCTCCTAAATTATCACTCTAGTTGAATTTAGCCCTCATACTATTTTAAATGGCCAATAAAGCACATGTAGTTAGTTTCCATGCAATTTTATCCCCTTTTTTTTTTTTTTTTTTTTTTTTTTTTTTTTTGTCCTTAATGTCATATTATGCACATATTATTGCACGTAATTCACTGTTGATTAAATTTCTATATATAAATGAGATATAAATATATATATGCATTCCAAGTGTTGTGTAAGTTTCTCTCTCTCATAATGGTTCAAAAGAAAAAAACAAACAACTTTTAGTCAAAACTATGAAAAATAATGGAACAGAGAAACCAATCTTCAAAATGCATCATTCTTTTATGAATAAATGTTCTAGCTAAGACTGTATGATTCTAAGTATTCATCAAGTATTTTCACAATATACATTTATAAAGTGAAGTCTTATTTGAATATCTGGTACCAATTTAACTTTGGGAACTCAACTCTTCAATTAAAACGTTCAAATCAGAATGCGATGAACCTCCTTTTTCAATAGTCCTCCTTGCCTGCTCTGCCAGTACCCTGGCTCTGTTTCTCATTTCCTCTGCTTCTTCACCAACCATAATCTGAGTCACAGCTTTCTCAATAGCTTCCTTCCTCACACTGTCTCCCAAAACCCTAACCCACTTCTGAGCACCAACACCAACTCCAATTTTCAGCACTTGGGTCACCAACTTCTCATTGTAAAATTGCTCTGCAGACACTGGCCATGTCACCATAGGCAGCCCAGCAGCAATTCCTTCCAATGTGGAATTCCACCCACAATGAGTCACAAAACCCCCAACAGCACTATGATCAAGAATCAGGACTTGTGGAGCCCACCCTCTTATGATTAGCCCTTTTCCTTCCATCCTCTCTTCAAACCCTTCAGGCAACCAATCCTCTTTGCCCACATCATCATCATCTTTGCCTTTCCTCACAACCCAAATGAATTCTAGCCCAGAAGCCTCAAGCCCAAGTGCTATCTCCTTCAGCTGAGAATTATTGAATTTGGCCACACTCCCAAAGCAAACATAAACCACTGAATTGGGTTTCTTTGAATCAAGCCACTTCAAACATTCATGCTCATCAATGGATGCTTCCTTTCCCCTGTATGCTTTTTCTTCATTGTCCCTGTTGCACAGAGAAAGGGGACCAATATGCCATGCCTTCTTTCCCAACACCTTTCTGTAATAATCTGCATAAACTGTTTCAAGCTCGTAGAAACTGTTGACAACAATCCCGTAGCTCCTCACCTCAGCTTCCTTGGACTGTTTCAGCAACCGGGTCAAGTCATTTTCATTATTGTCCTTAATAAAATCAGGCAGCTGGGCTCTTGTCATCTTGATCTCCCCTGGAAGATTAGGAATCACAAAGGGTTCTGAATCAGATGAAGTGTTCTTGAAAGGCTCATATCGCCTCACACAATCTGATGCAGCCAAAGCAAAGAAACTAGTCCCATGAAAAACCAGCCTTGGAATGCCAAATTTTGCAGCGGCATCAGTTGCCCAAGGAAAAAACATGTCCGCCACAAGGCAGGTTGGCTGGTCTTCAAGCAGAAGCTGTTCGAGTGGTGCTTGGAGCAAGCCCATTGCTTTGAAGAAATTACTGGCTAATTCAGGTGTGGGGAGTGAGTCCAGATTCTCACACCCTTCTGGCAGCCCAGCCTCTTGAGAAGGGAACTTGATGGTTTTGATTTCAATTTCGATGCCGCAGCCGCAGGAGTTGGTTTTTCTTGATCGGGTGGCTTTAGAGAATGTTGGGGCGTTTAGAGTGTTTGTGATTATCGTTGTCTTCACTCCTTGGGCCGCAAATAGCTTGGCCATGTCTGAGACTGGTATCATGTGCCCATGGGCCATGAAAGGGAACAAGAATACATGCAACTCTCGGTTTTGGCTAGCCATGTTTGGGAGTTGAAATGAAGATGAAGCATAGGTTTTATAAAAATTGGGATGGGATTGGTCTTTGTGTTTGTGTTTGGGATACTTAGCTTCGACATGAACGTCATATATAGAAGTAGGCTATGTGAGGAGTTTGGATTTTTCTTTCCTACACTGACAGAGGAAGAAAATTCTGTATTTCCCCGTTGAATACGTCGGTTGATAAAAGCCTGTTAGTCAAGTTGATTCATTAGTAGAAAACTACAAATGCCAAGTTGGATAATAAGTGTCCATCGATAATGTGATGATATTGATATGGTGTTACCAACAAAATGTATCGACGTGTTATCGATACAATTTTAGACAATCTCAATTTGGTGCATTGATAATAGATGTGGGTGAATTTCTTTATAAAGCATGTTGTGAATATTGAGAAAGAATGAAACGTAAATGGAATCAAATCATTAAAAAAGTTAAGGAACATAAACTTACGGAATCTTTACATTTTATCAAGATATGCATGTTCCAGGCCAGGAATAATGCACTCACATTCATACCACACCACTTCACTTGATTTACGATTCTAATTATTATTATTTTTTAAATGTTTAACGATTTCATTTTCTTTTAATTTTGGTACAAATGCTAATCTTCATGGTATGTTTGAAACTAAGTTTGGCATTTGGCATTTTGCAAAATATAGCCGCGCACTAGATTTTTAATGTAAAAGAAATTGAAAAGTTCTTTGCCATGAGAAAAGGTAGGAGGCATTCTCACTTCTTGCAAATTACAGTTTGATACATATGCAAAAATAATTCATAAAAAATATAAAAGGAAAAATATATGCACACATATCAAATAGTGATTGACAAAAAAATAGGAATTTTTAATTTCTAAAAAGGAAAATTGCGTTTATTTTAAAGTGGATGTAGAAAAATTGAGAGCCCCAATGGTAAGACGCGGGGAACTTACTTGGTAACCACATAATTTTAGGACTTTTCAAGGTGACATAATCGCTTACATCATAGCTCTCGAGACTTTCGAAGAATATGTGACCAGGAAAGTAGAGTTGTGTAGGAGAATATGTTCACAAAACAAGAAGAAAAGTAAGCACTCTAAACGGTCAAAGCAACAGATCTAGAAAAGTTAATCAAACAAAGGAAGATAAGGAAATTAATGAATAGGGTTAATTATTATAGACGTTCTTGAACTATGGCCCCAGTTGTAATTGGGTCCGTGAACTAAATTTTGAGGCAATGAACTCCTTTAATTAGACAATCAGTTGCAATTAGGTCTTACCATAATAGAATCCGTCGAGATTGACCATGTGAGTGTAACGTGCTCTTGTTGTTCGGGGTATCTTCGACTTTTCTGTATGAAAATATTATATGTTATTTAACTTATGACTTAATGTCAATCATTTTGTTGATCCTCATACTCTCCTATGAACAAACTTACTGGTAAGACTACAATTCCTAATATTATTACAAATTGACCACAAACAACTATAGAGCAAACTGAAGAAAAGTACCAGCTCTCCCCAACATCATCAACTTATCGCCCATTCCAGCTCTCCCCAACATAGGAAACAAAACTGAACACGCCCTAGGAGCAAGGTCTAAAATATCGGGAGTTTCGGAAATATCGGTGGTCCAAAAACACAGATATATCGATGGAAATATCGATATCGATAAAAATTGAATAAAAATCACGGAAATTATGAGAAAAACTTGGAAATTTTTATTGAAACTTTAGAGGATGTTTACTTAGTCAATTGTCTATTATTTTATCACAAAAAATTGGAAGAAAATGCATGGCATGGTGGGTTTGAGTGATTTAAGTTGATTATGTAGCGACCTGACAAACACTGTGACTTTAGAAAATATGTAGTAATTAATGAAAGAAAATTAAACACACCATAATTTTTTAGTTATAATAATGTACTTCAATATATTACACTTGATACATATGATAAATATATGAGCTTAACCAAAAAAACAAAGATAAAATGTATGAGTAACTTAGTACCACATAGAAATAATTCCTATTAAAATTCAAACTTAGTATCACATATAATGAACAATATTAAAACTCGAAGTGAATAATAATAAAACTCCATAATATATAACAACAACAAAATACTACTCCATTATAAAATAATAAATAACATTAAATATATGCTTAAATTTATTCTTAGGGAATTTTTTTAATATGGAAATTTATCTTAGATAATATTAGCTTGCAGACATTTTTAAAGACCTTATAAATATTACAAGTTGAAGGTATAAACACAAACTCAGCCGCAGCTGAGTTGGATAAGGCACTGTCTTTGATGAGAAAGGGACGGGGTTCGAATCCCTCTGTGCGCAAGATGGAGGCTTTTCAACATTTTTCTTGTCTTTTTCGGTTTCATATCGCGATATTATCGATAATAGCAGCTTTCGCTCCCGATTGATCCGATCGATCCGAACCTCACTGACTGATATTTCTCTTGTCTTGGGGATGCCCAACCTTTAGGTCGGATAGAAACAAGGGCATTTCTTTCCTCTCCCACTGGTTAACCCTTATCCCTATTCCTATTCCTATAGTAGCTTTATTCCTTATGCCTTATGTGTAACGAAACTGGAAAAAGAATGAATTGGCCTTTCAGCCAAATATCGATAATATCGCGATATATTAACCATTTCAGATTGAATTTGAACAAAAATATCGGTCCCGATATTTTGGCGATATTATCGATAAATTGACGAAATATAAATAGAATGTTGCGAAAATATCGGCGAAAATATCGAAATTTAATTCGTTGTCTATGAGTAAGTAACTAGAGAAGTTTCCTACAAACCCATCCACTCATAGAAATACAAGCAACCCATTAAAAGGCCCTCCTTGCCCATCAACTCCAACACTTTCACAGACTCTTTCTCACCAACCCGTCCTTCAAAACCTCCCAATACCTCTCCCAATGACAAGTTTTGAGGCAACGTCCTTGCTTTTTGCAAAATTTCTTCGACAATTTCCTCAGACAACGCCCTTGAATCAAAATTCAATGCTCTGGCTTGTTCCTTTTGTTGTTCAAGCACTCCTTCGATGCCAGAGTCAGTTTCTGATTCATCTACGAGTTGGGTGTCGTCAGCTAAACGCCAAGCAGAGCGATGGTTCTTTTGAAGAGAGAGCTTGCCTTTATGTTGAGAGTCCTAGGTTGAACTGCGAAACTTAAAGAATTTGAGAATTGGATCATCTGGGTCCTCTTCTTCTTCTTCTTCTTCAAGTTCTTGCAGGTCTTCTGGTTATTCTTCTTCATCGTCGTCGTCGTCTTGGAGAAAGGGAAGGAAAATGGGGGGTTGAGGAGTGAGAAGTGGGAGTGGGAGTGGAGGAGGAGGAAGCTGTGTGCAGAGAGAAAAGTCTGAGGTTTTTGGAGAACACAAAGAGGCAAGGCTTTGAGAAGAGAGAGTTCGGAGAGTGATTGTGAAGGAAGGGAAATGGTGGAGGAAGAGTGAGGTGTTGGCTTCCATTATTCATGGAAGGAGAGTCTTCAGACTCAAAAAGACGCTTTTACCCCTCATTTTGACGGATAATTTGACAGAGTTGGATGGCAGGACCTAATTGCAACTGATTGTCTAATTAAAGGAGTTCGTTGCCTCAAAATTTAGTTCACGGACCCAATTGCAATTGGGGTCATAGTTCAAGGACGTCTACAGTAATTAACCCTAATGAATAATATTAAACTTATGATTTCAAGGAGTGGTCATTTGTGTATTGATACTTCTCTTTATAATGAAGAAGATCACAAATTTTAATCTCAATTAATGAAAGGAAATAATTGTGGGGTTGTCACTCCATCCTTATTTTAACACTTCCCACAAACTTTTTTTTTTGGTGAAGAAACGAGGCTGACGCCCAACAAAGAAATTAAACAATGGCTCGAGGCCTACAGACTCCAAGTAAATCACTAAGAAAGGACCTAATACTGTTAGGGGGGTCATGGAAGGTTGACAGACCCAACTGAAGATATGAACCCAATTTAGCTAGTTTATCCGCTACCATGTTGCACTCACGATATACATGATTAATAAAATTACAAACCCAGTTTTTGTTTATATAGTCTTGGCATCCCCACAACATAGCAGCAAGAGGATGAAGGTCTTCCACATTTTTGTTAAGCAGGTGTACCGCGATCGCTGAGTCAGACTCAAGCACAACTGCACTGCAACCTATATCCCAAGCAATTTTCAGTCCAAGATAGATACCCCATAACTCAGCTTCCAAGACTTGTCCTACACCAAGATTAGCAGCAAAGCAAATCCACTGCCCATAACTATCTCTTAGTACACCCACATCAGCATTGCGTCCATCCTCACCTTTTCTGCACCTGTTAGTATTGATTTTAATCACTCTTTCATTCGGTAATTGCCAAGAGAGCGCAGCGAGAGAGCGGGTGGGTTTTCTAGTTTTTTCAATATTGGCCTGTGTCCAATCTGCAACATATATAAGAATGACGTGTCTGGGGTTGTTAGGAAACACAAACCCATGATCAAATTTTTTTTTAATTCCTCCATTTCTGTTAGTATGAAAATTATGTTGTCATTTGCTAGACTCTAGCATAGGTTGAAAATTAGTGTGTGAAGAATTATTACTGGACGTTTTGGCACAACTCATTCAACCCCATACTTCCGAGGCATGACTTGACCGATATGAGAAACTTGACTTCAAGTAAATCATGACATAATCATGCATTCAATATAGGATTCCTAGTTGGAGTTATTTTCAATCAAGTACTTTTTTATTAGACCTATTTTTGATAGGATTAGATTTTATCTCTTGAGATTACCTTCCTAGTTGGACTATATTTTGTTTTAAGTTAAAATATTATCTTTTCCTAGTTGGTCTAATTAACTTATTTTCGGAGATAATTGTTCCTTAATAAAAGTGGATGTGTGGTGTCATCACTTAGAGTCCATATAGAATCAAAATTAGTATTCACACTTGACTAGTAGTGTGTCTGTTGTCTTGGCGTATTGGACAAGAGATTATATTGGATCAGTCTGTAGAGTCATAGTTGAATAGGATTAATGGTCTGTTGGGTTTTCCTCTTTGAAGAGAAAGACTCCCTTTAATAAAACGTAGGATTTTCCTTTCAAAGATACAACTTTCATATTTTGTTTGAGCATCTAAAATTCTTAAGAAAGCTGTTGTGCATATATTTGAGATAAATAATCAAATGTTCCATGTTCATTTGGTGATTTATCAAACACTTTAATCATTCATATTGCATTCATTTGCATTGTTCGATGACTCATACGGTTGAGGGCACCAAGACCGTGGTGGCGGTTTTTCCCCGGCGAGCTTGAAGCAATCATGACTAGTATTGTGTTCAACATAAGAAGTGTCGAAGATCATCCCGTGACAGAAGTTGAGTTACGAAGAAGTCAGTAAACATTATCTAGAATGTGTCTAGGATAAGTGTGTGAGTACTTCTTGTAATCATCGTTCTATAGTGGATTTGTGTTGGACTGAGGAGTCTAGTGGATTTTCCCCAGAGGTGGGGTTTTACCATGTAAAATAATTCTCTGCATGTTTTTTTATTTTATGTTCAGCACATTTCAGGATTGATAAGCCATATCAATCCTGCTACCGAAGTTTATTTTTAGTTATTTGATTATAATCTTAATTTGGCCTATTCACCCCCCTCTAGGCATTTTTAGTCATCCTATTGGTAATTTCAATTTCCAAAGAAACCAGCAAGTGAAAGCAAACATGGTTGACCACTCCACTCCATAAGCCAAAATTGTAGAGTTGTGCAAATTTTTTGCAACCCAAGTATAAAGATCAATAGCCTGCAGCAAACTCATATTCATAGGCATAAGGGACTGATGCCAAACTGAAATTGCCATTGGGCAATTCCGTACAATATGAGCTACATTCTCCATTGGGGCACCACAAATATCACAATTGGCAGTCATGGTCATCTTCCTTTTAACTCTTTGATAATTTGTTGAGAGTTATCTTGGTGCAGCAACCAAAGGAAATATTTAACTTTGGGGGGAGCCTTAATGGGACCCCCAGATAGTTCCTAAGGTTCAAAGTCAAAGGAGATTCACAAATACTACTAATCTCTGCAGCTAGACTATTTGGAACATTTGGGGAATAGAAGCTTTGGAACTTCTCAAAACTCACGACCTGACCAGAAGCTTTATCAAGACATCTCTTCATCACTCTTGCCTGTCGCATACTAGCTTCAGCAAAAAGGAGTAAATCATCCGCAAAACAAAGGTGGGAAATCTTAGGACCAGTTCTAGAGATACTGACTGCTGGCCACTCCTTTTTTACAACAGCCTCACTAATTAGATGGGATAATTTCTCAAGACACAACACAAACAAATAAGGGGAAATAGGGTCACCCTGTCTCAGTCCTCTTTCAAGAGCAAAGGAAGGAGTAGCTTCACCATTCAAATTTAATTGGAAGTGGACCGTGGTAACACATTGCATAATAATCTTAGATTTCTCTAAGCACAAATTCTAGAAAACCATAGTTGATTCTATCATAAGCCTTAGAAAGATCAATTTTCCAAGCAACAAACCCATTCTTCCCTTTGAAGTGTCTAAATTTATGAAGGAGCTCTTGAGCTAGAACGATGTTGTCAGAGATTAGTCTTCCAGGGATGAAACTAGCCTGATTAGGACTTATCAAATTTTTAAGTAGAGGTCTCAGCCTACTTACTAAAATCTTCGAAATGGTCTTGTAGAGGGTGTTACACAAACTAATTGGCCTCATTTGCGCCATAGACAGCGGGCTAGTCACCTTTGGGACTAGAACAATTAAAGTCCTAGTGAGATCATATGGAATTTCCCCAGTAGTAAAAACTTGCTTTACCAAATCACACACCTCAGCACCACATATTTCCCAGCACTATTGGTAAAAGCACGCAACAAAGCCATCCAGACCAGGAGCTTTATAAGGTCCAATTGTAAACATACTATTTTTAATCTCACTATTACTTGACCAACAAGTTATCCAAAAAACTTTGATCAGTGACAGGAAAAAAATTAGGGAGAGTAGCAGTACATGTGCAAGTCATATCATCAGAGAACAACTTTTGAAAATAATGGATAGCAATATTTTTCAGGCCCTCTCTATTAGTCATCCAGTTCCCATTGTCATCTTTGAGACCAAGAATTTTGTTTCTTCTATTTCGAACCACCGTCGTCATGTGAAAAAATTTAGTATTTCTATCCCCATCTTTGTGCCAGTTGGCTCTTCATTTTTGCATCCACAACAACTCTTCCTGATCAAGAATTTGTGAATATTCCTTTTGCAACTCAAATTCTAAATTAATAAGGAAAGGATTTTGTTGTTCACATAATACTTTTTGAGCTCTAGCGATTCTAGCCAAAACTCTCCATTTTCTAAGTTTAAGATGACCAAAAACCTCGGAGTTCCAAATTTTCAGCTACTTTGATAGCTCCTTTGTTTTATTCAGTAAATTCCCATTTTCTTGGCCCCAAAAGTCGGCCACAAACTGCTGGAACCCTTCATGCTTAAGCCACATGGCTTCAAAATGAAAGGGCTTAAGAGGTGGGTAGGACCTAAAACTTGGGTCAAGCTGGAGGAGCAACGGACAATGGTCTAATTTTGCCTTAGCGAGATGTCTGACACAAGCTTCAAGAAAAAGAAGTCCCCATTGAAAGTTGCAAAGTCCTCTGTCATGTCTCACCATAATTAAGGCCCCGGTATCCCGTTTATTAGACTAAGTGAATTTGGACCCAGTATAACCCAAATCAACAAGACTATTTCTTTCCGCCCATAATTTCATGCCACCAGCCTTAAACGACGACCGAGGACTATGTTTCTCATGGGCAAATAAATATTCATTAAAATCTCCCATAATGAGCCAGGGATATTGATGAGCCTTTGCCATAGAATCTAAATGTTGCCAAAGAGCCTCACGCTTTGTATTACACGAACTTCCATAAACTATAGTGAAGAGCCAACCTTGACCAGAAAGGAGAAAGATCAAAGCTAAAATAACCTATTCAAAAAAATCCACCACTTCCAGCTTGCATCTCATATCATCCCAAAGAACCTATATTCCAGCTTGCATCTCATATCATCCCAAAGAACCCATATACCTCCAAAAAAACCCATAGCATCCACATGCTTAAACTTAGGAAAGCCCAAGTTTTTAAGGACTTCTAATGAATTGGCCCCACTAATCCTGGGCTCAACCATCACACATATACTAATATCATGGACCTTATAATGGTCCTTAACTGCATTTTGCAGAGGCTTTCTACCCGCACGCCTTATGTTCCAATAGAGAATGTTTAACATAATGATTGCAATTACAAGTATGGTATGACCAAACAGGATGGTCAATTCAAACCCATAACCTCCCCTGATTGAGAGAAGGAATGGCAAGGGGTTTCATCCCCATTTCGAATATAATCAATTGGCCTTGACTCATCGCAAGTTTCTGGGACCATGGAACATATATCCCCTTCGGAAGAAGCCCTCCCCACATTAGTGACATTATTTGTTGATCAAACACCTTCACCTTCTTTAGGATTCCTTATCCCAGCACTTAAGGTGATGTTGGGAGGTTAATGCCTAAATGTGAGACTGGATTCAACATTAGGCACCACAACCTGCATATTCATCAAACTTCCGTTTGCAGTGTTTCCCTCCTTATTACTATGTGCATGCACATAAGTATGGTGGTGCAAAATTGGAGCAGGCAACTTGTAAGCTATTCTAGCCTTCGACCTAGGGGTTTTGGAAACAGCTACTCCTGTCTCACAGAGTTTGGTCTTAGGTCCTGAGACGTCACCATTTTGGGCTGCACTTACCTTAGAGTCAATGACGTTGTTGAGAGATTTTTTTGGTCTGCCTATTTTCTTTTTTCCATTAGCAATAGCATGCTTCTCTTTTGCATCATTAGCTTCCTTAGTTGAACTATCCAACTGCTTCCCCAACCCTTGCATGAAATCATGATTACCAAAAATAGTCTCAGTTGTTACAGGCTCATTTCGAGCATCGTTAGAAGCCTCCTTCACAGTCCCTGAGTCATTCTGTCGAAGAATATCAAATCGTGACCCTGTTGGGACTTGAACAACAGAAGGTTTTCCTTGTACTTTCTTTCCATTGTCATTGGAGACTACCTTTTTTAAGCCATTTCTACCAACCACCATGTTCCAAGGGCCAAACCCTACTGATGCACCATCAGTGCTATCCATAAGATTACCCCGTTCATGATCTTGTAAGTCCATTTGCCCAACTCTCCCTTCATTAGCACTAGGATTCGCAGGTAGCCCTCCATTAACTTCATCAGTTGAATTATTTGTCATCCACTTGCTGAGCTCTAGTGTCCATGGGTATCACATCGTAAACACAATGATCCTTGCTATGGCCTATTCGACCACACTTAAAGCATATAAGGAGAAGGTTCTCATATTCTACTTTCACCAACTTTCCCTCAACAGTTAGAAAAGGTTTAAGCGGTTTAGAAGTGTCAAGCTTACTCTTGCATACTTGCCTCGGGATTGTGCAATTGTGTGACAATCAACTTTATAAATTGTGCCCAACAGATCTCGGATTGGTTTCACTGTCTCTTTAGTGAAATACTCAACATACAACCTAGAGAGGCGTGCCCATATAGTCAGTCTAGATAACTGCTCCAATTCTGGGTCAAAATGTGGCCTCCATTTTTGCATCATAAGGTATTGCCTAGCAATGACCCATGGTCCCCCAGTAAGGACATAGTTCAAATCCTCTTCTAGCAAAAATCTGACAATGAAAAAATCATTGGCCAGATCAATTAGTTGCATTGGCCCCTTAAGTTGCCACCGTTGCTTCAATCGAGCCAAAATAAAATTGTAAGTACGAGCGCACCCAACAAACTTAATAATGCTAGAATTATGCGAAGGTCTGTACAATTTCTCTTTAATTTGCTCTAAGAAACGAATCGACTGACCATTTGCCGACTCAGAGACTTCAAAATCCCCATCTTGAATGACCAACTAATCTTCCTCCATAGCAGCAGCAGCAGAAGCGCCAATAGGCTTTTCAAAAATAGCAGAACTATGAAGCGTATCTTTAAAACTTATTGGAGGCACATGTGGGGCTTGCTCAATTTGGTCTAAACACACCTCATCATTAGGAAGTTGATCATTAGATCTGGGTCGCTTGCAAGAAGCGTTCATGGAAGAAATTATAGTCGGCCCTCCGCTCTCCGGAGGTCGACGAGCGGAGAAGAGGAAAGGTGCACCGCCAGACGCCACCTTCAAATCACATGGGAAACTCGAGAGGTTCTTCTTCCCTCAAACTTTTATAATAGATAAATCTATTCATGTCCCCCTCAATTATCGACAAATTGGCCATATCGCTTCATTTTTTGCTTTTATATTCATCTTTCTCTTTTTTGGACTTTAAATTATAACCCTAAAAGCAATGTCTGTACAAATTTTGATTCACCTCTATGCAAGTTTTCTAAAAGATGAGATGAAAACAAAGACATGTTCTATTTCCACTATGAAGTTTGTTAAATTGAAATTCAGAACAAGTATTGACCAATTATTCAATTCGAAAGAAAAAAAAATTTGTTGACTTAAGCGCTCCCTCTTCTTGCTTTCTCATCTCCGCTGCTCCATACCAACACCCATCACTCTTCTCGCAGCTTCCCCTTCTCTCCCCACCAATTCCCCTCTCAAAAGTTGAAAATTCACTAAAGAATAAAATTTTCAAAATATAGGAAAATATTGGCATATAATAATCTTGATTATGAAATGCTGAGTGCTGACGTGGAGAATGTTTGATAAAGAAAAAAAATGTGTTGATGAAGTAGTGCACGCGGGGTGTGTGTGATTGTCAAAAAATAGATTTCAACTTTGCCATAACAATTCAAGGGTAGGAATTTATATGGATTTTGGTGTAAAAAATGAAGAACACGGTTAGGTATTTATAGAAGAAAAAAAAATTCTGGTTTTTTGTTTCTTTTTTTCTTTTTTTTTTTTCAATTTTGTTGGTACTCAAATTGGTCGCTGATGTTAGCATAATGTCAACTTGCCAAGCAAGTCTTACTTTTTTGGACTTAACCATGACAATTTTTCCTTGAGTGGAGATTGTTTTTGAAACCTGGACTCCGTTTTATCATGACAAAAAGAAACGAGGTGAAAGTGCTCTAACGGCAAGTAGTGGAGTGGTGGCAAGTGATGAGGCTGGGATGCTTGTGTCTGGCCCGGAAGGGTCTGATGATGAAGGTGAAAGGGACCCACGCTAAACAATGGGGCCCTTGAAGAAGGTAGTAGCTGCTGCCTAACATTTTCGTGAAAATTTTGCATTGAGAAAATCTAGGTGTCCAGGTTGTATGTCCACTGTCACGTATCCAAATAGGCGCAGAAACGCACACACCCATTTTCCTCTGGCTATAGTATATTAGTATATCGAAATTTATTTGTAGCGAAATATGACTAGGTTTTTGGTAACATTAAGGAAACATAATTAATTGTATTTATATTTATAATCAAAATCTGGGTTTTCGAACGAAATGGTTTCTAAATTATTGCTTGAGTTTCATTTTGGTCTACGGACTAAATATTTCCTTTTAATAGTTCTCCACTTTTTAATTAGTTTCAAAATGATCCTACCGTCAAAGTCCTCTCAATTATTCCGTAAAATTAATGGGCAAAATTATCTTTTTTGGCAGCAGTTGGGGCAAGGAGGTGCCCTCTGGCTCTGCTGCTTCATCATCTTCTCATCTTCTCATAATTTCATTTCTCTTAATCTCATCTTCTCATATTCCATCAACACAAAGGGGCTTTATTTCAAAAACCCAACAACTAGTAAACATTTTAAACATTTTTTTCATCAACGTTTACAAATTTATCAACCTAAGATCTGATTTTTGCTTTTCTTTTTCAAACGATATGCAAAATGGCATTAACTATATCTTCCCTGCAACCCCTCCCCATCAAAGTAATATCTCATTTTGTACGTATGTGAGGTCCAATTTTACCTTTGGGAACTCAACACTTCAATGAGAGCATTCAAATCAGAATGCGATGAACCTCCCTTTTCAATAGCCCTTCTTGCCTGCTTTGCTAGTCCCTTGGCTCTGCTTCTCATTTCCTCTGCTTCTTCACCCACCATAATCTGAGTCACAGCTTTCTCAATAGCTTCCCTCTTTACAATATCCCCCACAACTTTAATGCACCACTTCTGAGCACCCACACCAACTCCAATTTTCAGCACTTGGGTCACCAACTTCTCATTGTAAAATTGATCTACAGACACTGGCCATGTAACCATAGGCAGCCCAGCAGCAATTCCTTCCAATGTGGAATTCCACCCACAATGAGTCACAAAACCCCCAACAGCACCATGATCAAGAATCAGGACTTGTGGAGACCACCCTCTTATGATTAGCCCTTTTCCTTCCATCCTCTCTTCAAACCCTTCAGGCACCCAATCCTCTTTGCCCACATCATCATCTTTGCCTTTCCTCACAACCCAAATGAATTCTAGCCCAGAAGCCTCAAGCCCAAGTGCTATATCCTTCAGCTGAGAATTATTGAATTTGACCACACTCCCAAAGCAAACATAAACCACTGCATTGGGTTTCTTTGAATCAAGCCACTTCAAACATTCGTGCTCATCAATGGAGGCTTCCTTTCCCCTGTATGCTTTTTCTTCATTGTCCCTGTTGCACAGAGAAAGAGGACCAATATGCCATGCCTTCTTTCCCAACACCTTTCTGTAATAATCTGCATAAACTGATTCAAGCTCATAGAAACTGTTGACAACAATCCCATAGCTCCTCACCTCAGCTTCCTTGGACTGTTTCAGCAACCGGGTCAAGTCATTTTCAATATTGTCCTTAATTAAATCAGACACCTGGGCTCTTGTCATCTTGATCTCCCCTGGAAGATTAGGAATCACAAAGGGTTCTGAATCAGATGAAGTGTTCTTGAAAGGCTCATATCGCCTCACACAATCTGATGCAGCCAAAGCAAAGAAACTAGTCCCATGAAATACCAGCCTTGGAATGCCAAATTTTGCAGCGGCATCAGTTGCCCAAGGAAAAAACATGTCCGCCACAAGGCAGGTTGGCTGGTCTTCAAGCAGAAGCTGTTCGAGTGGTGCTTGGAGCAAGCCCATTGCTTTGAAGAAATTACTGGCTAATTCAGGTGTGGGGAGTGAGTCCAGATTCTCACACCCTTCTGGCAGCCCAGCCTCTTGAGAAGGGAACTTGATGGTTTTGATTTCAATTTCGATGCCGCAGCCGCAGGAGTTGGTTTTTCTTGATCGGGTGGCTTTGGAGAATGTTGGGGCGTTTAGAGTGTTTGTGATTATCGTTGTCTTCACTCCTTGAGCTGCAAATAGCTTGGCCATGTCTGAGACTGGTATCATGTGCCCATGAGCCATGAAAGGGAACAAAAATACATGCAACTCTCGGTTTTGGCTAGCCATGTTTGGGAGTTGAAATGAAGATGAAGTATCAGTTTTATAAAAATTGGGATGGGATTTGTGTTTGTGATACTTGGCTTCGACATGAACGTCATATATAGAAGTAGGCTATGTGGGGAGTTAGGATTTTTCTTTCCTATACTGACAGGGGAAGAAAATTCCGTATTTCCCCATTGGATACGTCGGTTGATAAAAGCCTGTTAGTCAAGTTGATTCATTAGTAGAAAACTACAAATGCCAAGTTGGATAATAAGTGTCCATCGATAATGTGATGATATTGATATAGCGTTATCAACAAAATGTTCCGACGTGTTATCGATACATTTTTAGACAATCTCAATTTGGTGCATTGATAATAGATGTGCGTATGAACATTGAGAAAGAACGAAAAGTAAATGGAATCAAATCATTAAAAAAGTTAAGGAACATAAACTTATGGAATCTTTACATTTTATCAAGACATGCATGTTCCAGACTACGAATATTGCACTCACATTCATACTACACCAATTCACTTGATTTACCATTCTAATTATAGTTTTTTTTTAATTACAAATGTTTAACGATTTCATTTTCTTCTCATTTTTGGTACATGACGGATGCCAAAAGTTCAAATGCTAATCTTCATGGTATGTTTGAAACTAAGTTTGGCATTTGGCATTTTGCTAGACGCGCACTAGATTTTTAATGTAAAAGAAATTGAAAAGTTATTTGCCATTAAAAAAGGTAGGAGGCTTTCCTACTTCTTGCAAATTACAGTTTGACACATATGCAAAAATAATTCATAAAAAAATACAAAAAAAATATATATATATACACACATGTCAAATTATAATTGACAAGAAAATAGGAGTTCTTAATTTCTAAAAAGGAAAAATTGTGCCTACTTTAAAGTGGATGTAGACAAATTGAGAGCCCAAATGGAGAAGACGCAGGGAACTTACTTGGTAACCACATAATATTAGGACTTTTCAAGGTGACATAATCGCTTACATCATAGCTCTCAAGACTTTCGAAGAACATGTGACCAGGAAAGTAGAGTTGCGTAGGAGAAGATGTTGACAAAACAAGAAGAAAAGTAAGCACTCTAAACAGTCAATCAAACGAAGGAAGATAAGGAAATTAATGAATAATATTAAACTCATGATTTCAAGGAGTGGTCATTTGTGTATTGATACTTCTCTTTATAATGAAGAAGATCACAAGTTTGAATCTCTATTAGTGAAAGGAAAAAATTGTGTGGTTGTCACTCCATCCCTATTTTAACACTTTCCACAAACTTTTATAATAGATAAGATGAAAAGAAAGACATGTTCTATTTCCACCAAGAAGTTTGTATGAAGTTTGTTAGATTGAAATTCAGAACAAGTATTGACCAATTATTCAATTCGAAAGAAATAAAAAAAAACACCCATCACTCTTCTCGCAGCTTTCACTTCTCTCCCCGCCAATTCCCCTCTCAAAAGTTGAAAATTCACTAAAGAATAAAATTTTCAAAATATAGGAAAATAATGGCATATATTAATCTTGATTATGAAATGCTGATTGCTGACGTGGAGAATGTTTGATAAAGAAAAGAAAAAAATGTGTTGATAAAGTGGTGCACACGGGGTGTGTGTGATTGTCAAAAAATAGATTTCAACTCATATTCATTTTCCAAGAGTCATAAGAGCACTTTCACCATCCGTTGTAGTATGACAAAGGACAAGGTCAAGTAAGGGTAAACACTATTTATATGAATAGTGATTACCTTAACAATTTTTTTGATGCATTCTCATCCATTGACATAACAATCCAAGGGCAACTACTATTCACATAGGATGTGAGGAGAGAAATTTATATGGATTTTGGTGTGAGAAGTGAAAAACACGGCTAGGTATTTATAAAAAGAAAAAAAAATTCTGATTTTGTTTCCTTTTTTTTTATTTCAATTTTTTTGGTATTTAAATTGATCGCTGATGTTAGCATAACATCAACTTGCCCAAGCAAATCTTGCCTTTAGACTTGACCAGTTTCATGATCCACTTCGAATAGAGGTTGTTTTTAGAGCTTAGACTTCCTTTATCATGACAAAAGGAAATAGGTAGAAGTTCTCCAACGGCAAGTAGTGGAGTGGTGGCAAGTGACGAGGCTGGGATGCGTGTGTCTGGCCTTGAAGGGTCTGATGATGAAGGTAAAAGGGACCCACTAAACAATGGGGCTCTTGAAGAAGGTAGGTGCTGCTTCCTAATATTTCCATGCAAATTTTGCATGGAGAAAATCTAGGTGTCCAAGTTATATGTCCACTATCACGTATCCAAATAGCTGCAGAAACGCACACAAAAGCTGACTAGGTTTTCGGTAACATTATGGAAACATAATTAATCGTATTTATTTTTATAAATAAAATTAGGGCTTTTGACCGAAATGGTCTCTTAATTGTTGCTCAAGTTTCATTTTGATTTACGGGCTAAATTTTTCATTTCAATAGTTCTCAACTTTCCATTTAGTAATATCAAAATGATCCTTCCATCAAAGCCCTATCAATTGTTCCTTAAAATGGATCGGAAAAATGGTCTTTTTTGGCAGCAGTTGGGGCAAGGAGGTGCCCTCTGGCTCTGTTGCTTCATCATCTTCTCGTCTTCTCATAATCTCATATTCCATCAACACAAAGGGGCTATTTCAAAAACCCAACGACTAGTATACATTTTAACCATTTTTCTCATCAACGTTTACAAATGCATCAACCTAATATCTGTTTTTTGCTTTTCTTTTTCAAACGATATGCAAAATGGCATTAACTATGGGGAAAAAACATAACACCCTATCTTCTCTGCAACCCCTCCACATCAAAGTAATATCTCATTTTGTACGTATGTGAGGTCCAACTTTACCTATGGGAACTCAACTCTCCAATGAGAGCATTCAAATCAGAATGTGATGAACCTCCCTTTTCAATAGCCCTTCTTGCCTGCTTTGCTAGTCCCTTGGCTCTGCTTCTCATTTCCTCTGCTTCTTCACCCACCATAATCTGAGTCACCGCTTTCTCAATAGCTTCCCTCTTTACAATATCCCCCACAACTTTAATGCACCACTTCTGAGCACCAACACCAACTCCAATTTTCAGCACTTGGGTCACCAACTTCTCATTGTAAAATTGCTCTGCAGACACCGGCCATGTCACCATAGGCAGCCCAGCGGCAATTCCTTCCAATGTTGAATTCCATCCACAATGAGTCACAAAAGCCCCAACAGCCGCATGATCAAGAATCAGGACTTGTGAAGCCCACCCTCTTATGATTAGCCCTTTTCCTTCCATCATCTCTTCAAACCCTTCAGGCAACCAATCCTCTTTGCCCACATCACAATCATCTTTGCCTTTCCTCACAACCCAAATGAACTCCACCCCAGAGGCTTCAAGGCCAATTGCAATCTCTTTTAGCTGAGAATTGTTGAACTTAGCCACACTCCCAAAGCAAACATAGACCACTGAATTGGGTTTCTTTGAATCAAGCCACTTCAAACATTCATGCTCATCAATGGAGGCTTCCTTTCCTCTGTATGCTTTTTCTTCATTGTCCCTGTTGCACAGAGAAAGAGGACCAATATGCCATGCCTTCCTCCCCAATACCTTTCTGAAATAATCCGCATAAACTGATTCAAGCTCATAGAAACTGTTGACAACAATCCCATAGCTCCTCTCCTCAGCTTCCTTAGCCTGTTCTATCAACGGGGTCAAGTCATTTTCAATATTGTATTTAACAAAATCAGGCACCTGGGCTCTTGTCATCTTGATCTCCCCTGGAAAATTGGGAATCACAAAGGGTTCTGAATCAGATGAAGTGTTCTTGAAAGGCTCATATCGCCTCACACAATCTGATGCAGCCAAGGAAAAGAAACTAGTCCCATGAAAAACCAGCCTTGGAATGCCAAATTTTGCAGCGGCATCAGTTGCCCAAGGGAAAAACATGTCCGCCACAAGGCAAGTTGGCTGGTCTTCAAGCAGAAGCTGTTCGAGTGGTGCTTGGAGCAAGCCCACTGCTTTGAAGAAATTACTGGCTAATTCTGGTGTGGGGAGTGAGTCCGGATTCTCACACCCTTCTGGCAGCCCAGCCTCTTGAGAAGGGAACTTGATGGTTTTGATTTTGATTTCGATGCCGCAGCCGCCGGAGTTGGTTTTTCTAGATCGGGTGGCTTTAGAGAATGTTGGGGCGTTTAGAGGGGTTGTGATTATGGTTGTCTCCACTCCTTGAGCTGCCAATAGCTTGGCCATGTCTGAGACTGGTATCATGTGGCCATGAGCCATGAAAGGGAACAAGAATACATGGAATGGTCGGTTTTGGCTAACCATGTTTGGGAGTTGAAAAGAAAATGAAGTATAGGTTTTATAAAAATTGGGATGGGATTGGTCTTTGTGGTTGTGTTTGTGTTTGTGATACTTAGCTTCGACATGAACGTTATATATAGAAGTAGGCTATGTGCGGAGTTGGGATTTTTCTTTCCTACACTGACAGAGGAAGAAAATTCTGTATTTCCCCGTTGGATACGTCTTTTGATTTAGTCAAGTTGATTGATTAGTCATGTGATGAGATTGACTAAGAATACTACAAATACGAAGTTGCATAATAAGTGAGGAACGAGACAGCTACTAGTGGCAGAAGGAAAGAAAGAACTTTCAGAGAGAAGCAAGTCTATGACAGGAAGGTGGGTCCAGGTTTAAGGAGCTTGACGGTCAGTCAGTCACCTGTCTAGGGCCTTCCTCGCGGTCAGGCAACTCTTTCCTTGTCGGCAAGCTCTCCTCCTATTTCTGCACTGCTTCCGGTTGATGGCTATTATGCCTCTTCCTGCTCTTTTGACTTCTTCGACTCGTCTTCCAGCTCAAACTAGCCAAGACTCCTATTCCGGGTAGTGTTTTTTATAGTCCTTTGCTCTTTACAAACCCCTGACTCGTTCATTCACTCGCTTGGATTCAGTCACATAGTTTCAGACAATCTCACTGTGATGCATGGATAATAGATGCGTGTATGAGTTTTTTTTTTAATGCATGCTGTGACTATCGAGAAAGAACGAAAGGTAAATTGACAGCCCAAATGGAGAAGACGGGTTTTTCAAAGTGACATAATCGCTGGCATCATAGCTCTCGAGACTTTCGCAGAACATGCGACCAGGAAAGTAGAGTTGTGTAGGGACAACGAGAAAAGTCCACTTTAAGCACTCTAAACAGTCAAAGCAACAGATCTAGAAAAAGTTCATCAAACAAAGGTGGTCACTTGTGTATTGATATATACTTCTCCATTAATGAAGGGAAAAAATTGTGTGGTTGTCACTCCATCCCTATTTTAACCCTAAATTATTGTGAGACTGACCATATCACTTCATAAATTATAACCCTAAAAGCGATGTATGTACAAATTTGATTCACCTTTATGCAAGTTTTTAAAAAGACGATATGAAAAGAAAGACATACTCCTTACCATCACCCATCTCTTCTCGTGGCTTCCCCTTCTCTCCTCACCAATTCCTTCCTCTCCAAAGTTGAAAATCACTAAAGAATAAAATTTTCAAAATATACGAAAATAATGACATATAATAATCTTGATTATGAAATGCTGGGTGCTGACATGGAGAATGTTTAATAAGGATAAAAAAAAAAAAAAAAAAAAAAAAAAAAAAAAAAGTGTTAAATTGTTTTTGATAAAGAAAGTGCATGCACGGGGGTGTGTGATTATCAAAAAAGAGATTTCAACTCTCATATTCATTTTCCAAGAGTCATAACGGCAAGTAGTGGAGTGGTGGCGATTGAGGAGAGAAATTCTCATGTAACGAAGATAGAATTTTTTATTATCCTTGACACAATAACACAATGACATGTAAGATAACTTTTTCATGTATCATTGTATTATTAGTTAAAGATAACAAAACAGTGTTATCCCTGTTACATGTAAGTTTTTTTTATGAGTGATAAGGCTGGGATGCTTGTGTCTGGCCGTGAAGGATTTGATGATGAAGGTGAAAGGGACCCACTGAACAATGGGGCCCTTTAAGAAGGTAGGTGTTGCTTCCTAACATTTTCATGCAAATTTTGCATGGAGAAAATCCAGATGTTCAAGTTGCATGTCCACTGTCACGTGTCCAAAATGCGGTTGTTTGGCTGTTTGTAATAAAATAAAAATAAAAAAATTATGTCATTGCATTTGTAGGCTATTTAGAGTTTTTCATGTTCGCATTTTTCTTGTTTTTACTCCGGCATGTTTGCATTTAGGATGTAACAAAAGGTGGAATCTAGCCTAGGCGCGTGAGCACCTGGGTTATAATATTTTTTAAAAATAAAATATATAGCATTGAGCACGATTCTATAATTGTGTCGATTCATATGTCTAATCCATTGATAAAGTCACTTAGGTAACTTGTAAGAGCACTTCCACCAGTTAGCTCCTTGTCATGGCAAGGGGAGCCCTAGGGCGGCTACTATTCACGTGAATAGTGGCTGCCCTAGCCCCTCCAGCAAAGTGTGTTTCCAGCAGTTTTAGGCTTGCCATGACAAATACTATTCATTTTTTTGTTTTTTTCACAACTTTGTTTACTTAAACATTTGATTTGGATAATATTTTCGGATAAGATTTTTGGGTTCCTACGTGTCAATACTATTCATATCGGATAAGATTTTCATATAAGATTTTATTTTATTAGTTGTATTGGTTGGTATTTATAGGAAAAAAAAAAGTATGAGGATTTGGTGTTAAAAGTGTTAAAAGCGGAGGTGCAATATTGACTAAGTATGAAAAATGATTTTTTGGAATAATCATTTTCTCAAGATAATTTTTGGCGGCTTTTATTCCTTACACATCAAATAAGAAAATTTGATTTTATGAGATTTTAATATGAAGTATATATTGACTTAATGAGCCATCATTTTTAGCCTAAATCGTATTTTGCACTAAAACCGATTTTTCATATTTTGATTTGGTGGGAATTTGATTTTCTAGTATTTTTATTTGAATCCAAATGGGGGGTACTTCCTTATTTACATTGTAAACTTAAGTAAATGGAGTAATATAAAAATAAATAAAAGTAAAAGGACAAAGACATTTACTTAAATGTTGAAAATGGAAATAAGGTATAGAGAGAAAAAGAAGTAATTTTTTGGTTTTTTTTTCATTTTTTTCAGATTTTTTTTTAATTTTTTATTACAAAAATATTGGTTGTCGTTGGATTGGAGCAAAAATTATGATCGGAGAGCCCAGGACATGACACATGGCACATAATTGTTGGCGACACTGTAGCAATGACGTCAGCACGGGCTAGTCCTGGCTGGAGCTCGGGCCAACCCTGCCCTCGGGCCAGCCAGTTTTGCTGGGTCCCACCATCTTGCCTGGGCCTGCCTCCACTGCTGGAAACGAGTTTTTCCCCCAAACCCCAAACCCCCCCCCCCCCCCCCCCCCCCCCCCCCCCCCCCCACCCCCCCCCCCCTTGGCCCCTTGCTGAAATGCTCTAATATAAGCACAAATACTGCTTTCGTGCTTTATATTGTCAGACACGAATGTCCTATAGCAATGAAAATTCCTATAGACAACACCGTTAGAGCACAATTATTTGTGTCTTTTGCCGCTAAGAGCACAAACGAAAATGGTGCTCAAACCCAAACCAATGCTCTATAGATCTCCTTTCTTGGTTCCTCTGAACTTTGGTCTTCTCGTGGCAGCGACTGCTTCATTCGTGTAGGGTTTGATTTTAGGGTTTTTGTAATTTGGGGGATTTTTTTTATTTATTGTTTTAGGCCTGAGCTATTGGGGTTTTCGATTGAACTTTCCTGAGGCCTTGGTTTTCATTTTCGGATTTGGATTCTCTTGTAATTTTATTTGTGTAAACCGTGTATCCTTCTCGTATAACGAAGGGCCTGAACCTGGATTAAGGTTAGGGCTTACATCTGATCTCCTAGTTAAGATACCTTATGGAGGAGACTTGCACACTTGGAACATTTATCAAAATAGGAGCGAACTAGGGTTTATCCCAGTTGAACCCCCTCCGATGGTTAAGTCAGAAGTGGTCTAAATGTGGAGAAATGGATGTAGAGTTTGCAAGGTGAGAATATTTATTACCTTTGTCCAGAGATATGTGAGGGGTATTTATTGGGGGGGGGGGGGGGGGGGGGGGGGGGAAGAGACAAAGATATTTAAAGAAGGGATATTTATCTTCCTTCCCCCTGGTGGGACTGGACCACATTAAATGACTTCTTTAGATCACTATGTTGTCTGGCAGGGATTAGGTGGCAGAGCGACACTTGACTTTGGATAGGAGGCAAATTAATTGATCCCTCTCCATCACCTGGCTAATCATCAGGGGAACATATGGTAAAGCAACACTTGGCTTTGGATGTGAAGTACATTAACTGATCCATTTCTATCGCCAGGCTGTTGTATCAGGCGGAAGGAGTGACTGACTCAACAGGGGTCTGATCGTACCTTCAGAATATCAATGTGCCTCTGGTCATACACGGCATCCTAGTGGTCGGGTCAATACCCGCGTGCCCAATCACTGATTCACACTCTCCCATCAGGCTCAACTTGGAGGCCCTTGATCGACACCCAGGGTAGTAACTTTGGTCAGGTCGGTATACGGGGGACCCAGTCTCTTATGGCCACGTGATGTTCTCTAATAGGCTCGGCTTACAGTGATGGTATGAACCATTAACAATTTGGTAATGAATGATTCAACAAAATTGATATAAACATCAAAATGACAATGTTCTTACAAATTTATTCACCAAAGCACTACAGGCTGCAACCTTGATAGCTAAGCAAGGTAATAATAGGTGAGGTGGCCAAGTTTCACCTCCAAATCCAAAATGCACGAATTTTCTGAACTATTTTCAATTATAAACTCTACAGTTAATTAATGGGCTAAATATAGTAATATGAAAGCCACCTATCAATCATGGGAAAACATTCCCTAGGATTGTACTCTGTAGCTGCGTGGCCAGCTCCCTGTACAGGTAAAACAAAAGTTAATTTCCAATGTTTACTTCTTGAGAAACATAATTGGGAAGGATTAATTTTCTCTTCTTGCCTTCACAGTCGCATATGTCAAACTGTACGCTTTCCTTGTATATGCTTTGGTATACCTGTGATAAAAATAATAATAATAATAATAATGTGTTTAGAAATTGCAGTGAAATTATGAATTGTAAAACAATGATATGATGGAGTGAAATTGATAGTAGCAAAACCAACCCGGCAACTTGGCCATTGACAAACCATGGTCTCCAAGTGTAATCAATACTCAAATTTAGAGATGTTATCCATTCTTCAGTGCCCACGTATGGAACAAGCATGTCATGATCACCACTGTTACAAATTAACTTTGATCTTTAGGAGAGAGGAATTATTCAACTATTCAATAGAGCTCAAACACAAATCAATTAGTACAATAATAAGCACTTATTTTGGTTATACTAACAATATAATTTTATAATCCGAATTGACTAATTTCTAGGTCCTCATTGAAAAATCATTCAAGAGAAATTTCATCTACATTGGAAATCATTCAGCCACTTAATTGGTATCGTGAACATTTTCTTGTTTATTGAAAATATTGTGTTTATCTATTTATTTGATCACAACTAAACATTGTCTGATTTAAATGAACTTTTGCATGAATCATCTTCCAATGATGACCTAAAAAGTAAAAAGTTCGAATTATGAGATGGTTGTGGAGTAGGGCAAAACAAGTAGTTAGCGTTTGTGGGATATTGTTCATCTATGTATTTGCAAATTTTTTAAATAGCTCATAGCTATATAAGTTTTCGCATGACGTTAGTGGTACTTTAAGAATAGACAAACTTGGAAATGTGGAAAATTAATATTAAGAATAGGAGTGTTGTTATTTTCACCCACATTATTTTTAAAAATTTAAAGACAAATTTACCCCTTTGTAAAATGACTTCTAAGGACTTGGGGAAAAAAATCTCAACTCATGTAACCCACTTATTCTAACGTTTGACAAAAAGAAACAAGGCAAAGAATTAAAAAAAATTAAAAGATATAGAAAATCAAAATATTAGACTAAAACATTTATCCAATACGTCAACCACAACTTGATCGTCTTCATATCTCAACTACTAATTATTAGCAAAGAGAATTTGCTTGAATGAATAATTAAAGGGTATTTTAGGAATAATAGTGGGTGGAATGATAGGATCGTGTTTTTTAAAATTTACATAGTTGGGTGGGGAAATAGACACGGGGGTGGAAATAGGTGTACCTGTAAACCAGTGCTCTAAGGTTTTTCTTGGTGAGGTTTCGATGATAGTCAAGACTAGTTCTAACATCATGTGCATAACTGCTAGAGAAGCTCTGATTGCATCTTTCCCAACCCTTTATTGTTCCCTGCAGGTTGTAATGGTAAATAAAATCGTGAATATTTTATATAGGTATTGTAATTCTCAAAATTAATTAACTTACCTCTCGAACGTGAAGAGCATTTTGGACAGTTTTATCATTAGCCCAGATGTAGGAGAACAGATAGTTATAAGCCTGCAAAGAAGTACGGATAGTAAGCAGGGCCGTCCTTGAGATTTTGAGAGCCCTGTGCGAAATTTAAATTGGGGCTTCACATAATCTAATACAAAAACATTATAAATTTACCATAACTTAATGTCATAAACAATTTTTTTATAACAAAAAGTCACCATCAATATATATGTAACGACAATCAGAAATCAAATTCGTAAAAATTTTAATGTTTTCATTTGATAAAGTTAAATGTTCGGTACAAAAATAAGCTCATTGTGCCCCAATAAGGTCCTTTGTTGCCTCCAATAAGCAATTTGTGTTTAATAGGAAAAAAAATTGGCAACCACAAATTAAAGAGTAGTTGCACACAAATGTCATTAACAAATTAGATTATGAGTAATGCAATTTAGACACACAAGATTGACCACATTAGCTGACCACCTTATGTGGCAGCTGATATGGTCATGCCATGTCAATTAATGAATACTGTCATGTAGATTTTATTTTTATTTACTTTTTTTTAATAATCCTTAAAAACAACAAAATTATAATTAATTACAATTAACCCTAGCATCTGTACGTTGTAGCAGGCACTAGCGGATCCACAGAGGCGCAAGGAGGTGCAGCTGCACCTCCCCTCACCGGAAACTTCCTTGGGGATGCCAAAATTTGCCCCTTTGCTAGTGCCCACCCATTGTTCGACTAAATGCCTCAAAGACGTTGTATTGTTTGCTGCATTGTGAGACCCTAAATATTTACCTTATATTGTTGGGCTCGATCTCACGAGCATGTAGGATAAAACGGTTCATCAATCAGAGCTCCATAACCAAAGTTATGAATTTTCGAAGTTTTTCTAGAATATTTGAAGTTAAAAGTTGCAGAGGCACGGTTCAAGGAAGAAGAAGACTCTGCGTCAGCGCTTCTGACTCTGATTCTTTTTTAAAATGGTCCAATAGCAAGCCAAAACATGTCTATTTCTAATTGGCCTAAATTAAAAAATTCATTAAAAACTCATATGTGTGCCAAAAAATTCATCCAAAATTACCCCAAACTTTTAATCATGTGTACTTTTATTTCATGACCTCCAATTTACATGTGCTTTTGGTTAGATTAATTGGTATTGACTTTTGTTAGATTAATTATGTAATTGACATGGATTTTGTTCATATTTTATATGAATTTTGGTAAACAAATTGTGTCAATGACAAGGATTTTGTTCATATTAATTGATATCCATATAGACTATAATCAATTAGTTGTAAACGTAAAACTCTTATTTGTTTTAATTATGAGTGACATTAGTATTGGTTAAATTCTAAGGGCATTTGGTTGTATAAATTTTTTTTGAATTTTTAGCCTTATTTTTTTTAACACACTACTTGGATGTTGGGATTTAAACCCAGGGCCTTACTTGAGTCCTTTGTAATTTTCTAGCCTTTTAAATATTGCACCTCTCCTGAAAAATTCTTGGATCCGCCAGTGGTTGCAGGCTGCAGCTTCGTTCTCTACTCAACACTCCCTTCCTCCACCAAATCTACCCTTACCCAGTAACATAGCCAAGCCGCGCGAGAAACCCGACAAATCACATCAATCCATCTTGGAAGAACATTCATATTTAAAATAAAAATAGTTCATATTTTGGGAATTGTTCACCAGACCACCCATTTGATTGGAAAGCTAATACTCCATTCCTAGCAACATACTAAAGCTTTAAAATTCTTTTTAATTCTTATATACATGACCAGAGAATATGAGATCTCAAAATCAATTCGGATTTTCTAGATAGCTAGTGAAATAGGCATTAAGATTTTTGAGTTGGATTTTCTTGATTAGTTGATTTGCAGAGTTGGGTTTGTTGAATCAAAGAATTGGTTTTCTTTTTGGAGAGAGATTGCAGGAGGATGAGCAAAGGCCAAAGGGGAAGGAGAAGGCAGCCAAAAGGAAACAACGAAGAAGAAGAAAAGTTGAAAATATAAATTACTTAATTTAAAAAGGAAAAAATAAAAACACAGTTGGCCACATTTAAGTGACGTGACATATGCACATCAGCTGCTATATAAGGTGATCATCTAATGTGGTCAATCTTGTGTGTCCAAATAGCGTTACTCTTAGATTATATTGCATTAAAAACAAAAGTAACAACAAAAACATACCTAAATATCCATGAAGTTTTGTTTTGAATGAAGAAAGTACTTTTCTTGGAGGAGAAAACCTTTTTATTTTTAATTTTTAATAAATTCTTAAGAACGATAGTTTAGGGATATATATTCCTCCTGTCCTGTGGTAAAGCTTCGATGTTTCCTGTTTTTTAAAGGCTTTCTGTTTTTATTTTATTTTATTATAATTATGCAAAGTTTGAATGCAAAAATAATATAAAAAAATGCAAATAGATCGACCTCTGGCACTTTTGTTAAATGGATATGGCTCCAGCCAACTCCCCCAGACACACTCTTGTGCAATATTCAGCACGCTATACTATATATACAATTCCTCTAATATTAATATATGTAATATAAAGAAAAAAAATTTCAGGGGCCCTGTGCAGTGGCGCCACTTGCACTACCCCAGGGCCGCCCCTGATAGTAAGATATTAGCATGCAGCATATTTCAATCACATGTATATAAAGATATGACTAAATTATATTTTTAATTAGTCTGTATAATATGACTCATTTTTTGTTTATGTCATTTCCCTTTTGGCGATTTTAGTTATGTTGTTAGATCCATTTATATTGTGTGTGAAAGAGAATGAGCTAGAAACTTACACGACACCATGGTTCTGGATAGTGATGAGGCATATCTAAGAAGTTCTCTCCAACAAAATTTTGATCCCGTTTGGATCCTTTTGGTTTTGGAGACATTGTGCTGCATATTGGCTCCAATATTTGGGGACTATTTATCTTTTGGAGGCACTACAAGTTTATTCGAGTGGCAAATCCATCATTAGGCCAATAAATAAATGTAAACCATGAACATTAATATTGTGGTAATTCTCACCTGAGTGACTTCTTGAAGGTTTTCCACACAAGGTGCATTGCTTGGATCTACTTGAACGTACTCCCCCTTGCAATTTGTTTTAGTTGACTATAATACCAAGTGATTAGATCTTATATTATCTATCAATAATAAATAAAAATTGATTATTAATTTCTCTTTTCCAACGTTAGTAATTTTTTCTCCATAGATATGTTTCTAGGTATTTGTATTATTATTGCACTAACAGAAGCACATTTGTATATATAACTTAGGTATTCAGACCCCAAAAAAAAAATTATAGGCATTATTTTTCTTCCTTTGTTAGTTAATTAGATTAAATTTAAAGAAATGTGGGCAGATTGGTATAGAATGTAGCAACCGGTGGAACTAAGTGAGAACTTGAGTTATGTGGAGCGACCAGTTCAGATGCTTGGATTGGAAAATGCAAGTACTATGTTATGTTCTAGAACCATTCCACTGGTGAAAGTCTTGAGGAGCAGATGCGGGCTCAGTACTTTTTTTTATAACAGGTATGAAATTTCGGGGACGTATATAAAAAACTATAAGCAGAAAAAAGAAAATACAGTAGAGAATATTTATTACCTCATAGAGTGCATCAGATATAAGGGCCATATTGTGAGCAAATTTAAATCGTGAATTCACGTCATATGTTGGATCTGTAAATGGGTTGCCTAATATGTAACCCTGTGTTCAATACAAAAGAGCATTTAGTTATCTAAGACAAGGTTGTCTAGTGATTTATGGAACCCCAAAAAATAATAATAATAATAATAATAAAGGAGTTTCAATGTCATATTTTACTATCAATGAACTGGAATTTTAAATCTAAATTGAAATATATAAAAAAATTAAAAAAAAAAGGAATTGTCAAAGAACTATGATGGTCAAAGAAAAGCATTAATCCCAAGCTAAATTAGATGAGTGGAAATCAACGACAACAGCCCAAAGCTCAAACAGGGATAGAAAGTTGCTTTTCACCGGTTTAAATCCCCTAGCATTATTTGCATTTTCAGTGATTGAACCAGCTTTTGAGTCTGGGTTATGTTGGGCTAAAACAAATTTGTCCTCATGGCTGGAGCGGACTAGGCTAGAAAAGCTAGAAAAGCTCGAAAAGAAGGCTGCTGCATGAAGAAATTATTGTGATTTTCGGCCAGCTAAAGCCGGCAGTCTTCTACATTGTTCTTCTGCCCCTCACTATCTCTCTCTCTCTCTCTCTTCACGTGTAACACGAGGAGATAGATAAGACACGGAAGGGGTATGAACCGGGGACACTTCAATTTTTCTCCCATATAAGACCACAAGATATACAAACAAAGAGTCTACGAGCATGCTTCTAAAATGAATAAAAGCGTTTTAAACCAATTGTGACTTTAATAATAGAAAAATTATCAACGGGGTCTAGTCCAGTAGAAAAGGGCTTTTAACTTGCAAATAACAGATCTCAAGTTTAAACTCTCATGACATCTTAATTATGGTTGTGTGTGTGAGAAACCCCCGCTCGCTCCCCTTTAATTTAGATAAACGAAAATTAGTTGTGCTCCTTTAAGGCTGTAAAGCTGCGGGCCTATAGTGAAAAGATAACATGAAAAACAACCATGTCAAGTCAGATTGAATTCTTACTTTGAGATTCATTGGTGGTTCACGCCCAACCTCATTTCCTGCAACAGTTCAGATATAAGAAGACTTGTTCATAATAAATAAATAAATAAGGCAGTAACATTATCTGAAAACGTCTTCATTCACAACAAAAGTTTACCTTCGGACACTTCTTGAGTAATGATGGGAACGGTCATGCCTGAATATGAATCACCACCAATGTATAGTGGATTTTTCAGAAATTGAGGGTGATCTTTAATCCACTGCAATACCATCATATATATATATATATATATATATACTAAATTAATTAGTAAATTAATTAATGAGATTTATACATAATTTTCAATCCATTGTAACTTAATTAACCCATTTTCACCTTCCTTAGAAATTCATAAGTTTGCGCTGCTGATAATGCATCACCTGTCATGTATCCTTGAGAACTTTTTGCATATGAGAATCCAGTACCAACAGGTTGATCCAAAAATATTATATTCGCAAGCTGAAAATTTTCAGTGCCTTATGGTGGGTAAAATAATTATTCGCAAATCAGAAGTTTTGCCACTAACTATACACATACATACCTTTGTCCATGAGTATGGATTTAACAAAAAAGTTGGTTGGTTCCCACTAGAATTTGCGTAGTTAAATACCAGTGGACCTGCCAAAAAAGAAAGAACTCAATCCATCAGCAAAAGTAGAGGACAAGGTTAAGAAGTGAGCTTATGATCATGTACCAATTTGATATACTAGGCCAAAAAAAGAAGAGCAGCCAGGACCTCTGGTGAGCCAAAGCACTAGAGGATCTTCCTTGGGATTTCTCTCCGACTCAATGAAGTAATAAAAGAGCTGCACATCATCTGAATCGCCCACCCCCAGGTACCTACATATCATTAAACCCCATAGCTTTTATTCTCATCGACGTGTTGTGTGTATGAACTGATATAATAATATTCATGCTGGAACCATATGATAACGTATAAAATTATATATACGAGATAGACACAAGATTGTATATAATTGATTACGCCTATAATTTTATCTTTTAGTTTAAAAAGTACGAACCCGGTTTCAAGTTTGAACGGGAGTTCACCGGACAAGCCCGGCAGGGTATTGACGATGGATGCTGAAGAGACAATGTGACACTTGAGGAGGAACAGAACAAGTGCTAGCGGCAACATGGTGATCCCGTGACTGGCTATCTTCTGGTGGCATATTATATATAGTTATTTTCGCTACTACTTTTTTTTCTTTTTTTTTTTTTTTTTTTTTTTTTTTTTTTGTGGTTAATTGCTTTTGCTAGTATACCTTATCGTAAATAATACATATTGGACATGATATGGACGGCCAAATTGAAACATTGGTTTGACTTCATGGCTGTAATATTTTTGTTGCATTTTTGTTCTCGTAGTTTCGTTCTATTTTCCCATCAATTATTGTGCACATCTTCTCACTTGAAAACCCCAATTTGATTTGTTATTTATTTTTACTTAAATGAGGTTGATTTGTTATTTATCCATTTTCAGTTTTAGTTTTCATGCCCATAGGATGGAGGTCCATTAAGTATCTGTTTGCTACTGTAATTTGCCCATATACCCATTAATAATTGGTGGTGATCCACTGTGAACTTATGGGGCCGGGTTTTTTACTTCAACTCCTATATATAGAGTGACTTTGCAATGCATGTTAGGTGTTTGATTGGATTGATATTGAACATTAGGTCTTGAATTTTAGGTCGTCTTAGGCGATAAATTAGATGAGATCGCTTTCTTAGTATACAATAAAGCTTTAGAGATATTTAGTCATATACTTATTCTTAGCACCAATAATATAAATAAATCCTATACCATTTAATTTCTATTAACAATTCCAAAAAAACCTCCAAAAATGACAGCTGGCCCTATTAAATTTAATTTTGATGTCCTATTGAGTGTTTTGGACTTTTTTTATGAGGTTTTAGAGTTAGGTTTGTTTTAAGAAATCAATGACAATTTTGTAATTTAAAAGAAGTTAAAAGTCTTTTTGTTATGTTGTAAATAGTTTTGGGTGTGTTTCTAAAATTCATTTCATATAGAGTTTTTTTTTATAATTTGGGCTTCTATATTTGGTATAATAGTGAATCTCCCCTCCTCTTGGTCACCATCAATCTCAAAGATAAAGATCAAAAAAGAAAATTTGTGAGCTTTTCAGTGAGAGATCGATTCTTAGGGTTACAATATGATAAAAGAGGGATGAGAAAAACTGAAAATAATGGATAGATTGAAGAGATATTGGGAAAATATATAATAATATGGTGGTGGATTAAGGACTCGATGGATTAAAGAGAGAGTATAATCTTCCATGGAAAAATTAAAAATAGGCATTGCGTGAGGAAAGAGGAAGCGTGTTGGGGCCATGGCCATGGCCCTTCCTACCCACCCCGAAGGTCAGTCCTAAACATTAGGTGTTAGTCCAAGAAATAAAGAATATTAGGTGAAAGTAGCCTTGTGAGTGTACAAGAAGACCCTCTTCTCACAAAGATATATATGATTTCCTTACCTACTTTATTTATGAAATTTATTTTATTAAAATCAGTTCGCCATTTTCAACAAATCAATTGTAACATCTGGTTTTTTGAAAATAATAGAATGGCTCGTGTGAAAAGCAACTCATTAGCCACCTCTCAAACATCATTTTCTGCAAAAAAAAATTACTTGAATTTGAAACCATTTAACCATTCAATTAGATTATTGTTATTTAGTCTATTTTTCAAGCACCATGTTCGTCTATTTTGATGCTTGCACTACCTTAATGATTTTCAATTTGTCTGATTTTTTACAAAGATTATCTATGAATGAACACTTCAATGGACGATTTGAATCGTTGAAAAAAAAATTTACAAGGTATCATTAGCAACTATTAAAAGTTTGAGAAAATCTAATTCTGATTCGAAAATTTTCAATTTTGACAAGTCCAAATTAATTTTGATATCTGAAACTTCTAAAATCTGAAAATTCCGAAGAAAAAAAAAATAGTTGGAATGGAATCTCAAGATTCCGAAAATTTCAAATTCTGAAATATATTGGGGTTTCAAGCTTAGACTATATACAATTACTAATTTTATGTTGAACTAAATATAATTTAAGGACCAAATAGATATAGAATAATTATTCCATAAGGAATAACAACATGAAAGTACTAGAATATAATAGTTTTTCATTCAAATGGTAGGGCATGTTTAAAACTTTTGAACTAGGTTCTGAAATTTTCCAAAAAAAATCCGAAATTTTCCGAAAATTATAAATGTTCCGAGTTTTTCGAATAAAAAAGGATACTGAAAATTCAAATTTTTTTGGAAAGGAAATGGAATAGAATTTTTATGTAGGGAAAAATATGGGTAAATTCTTACGAAGGAAAATAAAGAAAATAAGTTGAATTGAAATTGGCAAGAGAGCCTGCAAGAAGAAAGAATTGCAGCCAAATATCAATTATGAAGTTAAAAGAAGGAAGGCGTATTGTTGGGATTTTGGGGTTGCTTGATAAAAGTTCGGAGCATAGATGATCTTCGGCAAAATTTATTTTAATTTTATAATAAGTAGGATCCCTCAATATAAGCTTATATAATATATATATATATATATATTGAGAGATCCCTCAAATAAATATTTGAGGAGTGTATCCTACGAATTTTTTTCCAACGATCTAAATCATCTATTTTTTAGGTCTTTATTCATAGATCATCCTTACATCTAATTGTGTTCTACAAAATCAATGAACACAGTGCTTCAAGAAAATACTAAAATTTTAATAATTTAATTGAGTGGTCAAATGATGTTGGATTCAAGTAATTTTTTTATAGAGATGATCTTTGAATGAATATCTAAAAAATAGACAGTTTAGATTAGTGAAATACAATGTGTAGTATGGGAGCAAATAATCCGGCTTCCAATCACAAGGCACTATGTGGATAAGAAGAATACCTCATAGGCAATGGCAGACCCATAGAGGAGCAAGGAGATGCACTTGCACCTCATCTCGCCGGAACTGCGTAGTGCTCACAAGTTCTCATGGTGCCACTCATTTAGCAGATGACAGGTTGCAGAAGCGTTTTTAATGGAGGTTGAGGCACTGCCTCACGAAGGAAGAAGAAGACATAATACCCTAATTTTCCTTTTTCTAAAACGGCGTTGTGAAAAATCTAGTTTCATTATGTTTAATGAAACGCAGTGTTTCACTAAAGTTGGTTTCTATGCCATTGGAAATACAAAATTGCCCCAATGGGTCCACTACCCAAGTCATATAAAACCAAATCGTCACCTACACTAAATCCAAAAAGGAACAACAACTCAGCCCAGTTAAAATCAAAATGTTGCCTATTAAAAATTTAGAAATCTCAATATAATATAAGATTTTATTTTGGTCGAAAAATATAATAGAAGATTATACAACAAACAAAAACCCTTTTAACCCATAACCAGTCAATATAATAGAATATATTATAATATATAGATAGTTTTTATGAAATAAAGGTCTTTTTTGTTTTTTTTAGCTTTAGACTTTTAAATATTGCCCCTCCCTTAAAAAAAGTCAGGATCCGCCGCTGCTCCTAGGTCAATTAATTGAGTCCATTTATTTGGCCAATTAATTGACAAAAAAAATAAGGATATTATCTTAAATATTATATATCTTTATTTGGGAATAAAATCACCAATGAAAAGATAATATCACCAATTTAGAATAATATCTTATTTTGAGGATATTATCATCAATTAGGAATTTGATCCCAATCAAATCCCTAATTGATTTAATCTCTACATTTGGGGAAAGAATAACTTCTTTCCAAATAAGAAGATAGTCTTTGAAAACCCTAGATGCCTAGAGACCTACGTAGCCTCATTCAACACACAAGGTAATTCTAAACTCAATTATGAAACCCTGAGAAAAATACCCGAAACATCTCTCCTCTCCTAGCCGACGGCATCCCTAGCCGGCGGCCTCACCTCTCTCATCTCTCCCACAAGGCCAAGTGCCACCACACACAGCTCTGGCCACCCGGTTCTCCCCATAGAGAAAACTTCGTACCCTTTTTTAGCTATTATTTCTCAAGGATCGATCTAATTGAACTAACGTAAGCATCATATGGCCTTTGGCCAACACCCCATGGTTGTGGTCTTTTACTCATGTTTGATTTATTAGGAATCGAGGAAGAGAGAGAAGAAAGCTCAAATGGTGAAGGATCTACAAGCCATTATTCTTTCGTGAGAAATTTGCACAAACAGAGTATGCCCTACAGAGTGTCTCTCAAATAAGTTTATTTAAGGAATCTCTCAATAGAAGCTCTCTGTGTATGTGTGTATATATATATATATATATAAGTGTCCTAAATGGGGAGCATTATTTTTTAAAGTAAATTTAGGTTTTAGCCAAAAAAAAATTTCACTTTTGGAAAAAGCCAAAGCTTTTTCAAAAAAGACAGAAAAACCTCTCAACTTTCAAATCAAAGACATGCAAATGTAAAGGATTCCTTAGGAAATCCAAAAATAAATAAGGGCAATTTTGTCCATTTTGGCTTCTTTTACAAAATTTCTCTCTCCTTTGTGTTTTTCCAAAGTCTCCCTAAAAAATAAATATTGTTTCATGTAAAAAAATAAAAAAAATAAAAGATTTTTGTATAATGATATTCTGAAGTACTTTTAGCAACAGCAAAAAATGACAGAGGAGTTTTTATTTATTTATAATAAATTAAAAGAATTATTTCAAAATCATAAAACTTCGTATGCCTCCACATCTCCAACATGTGAAATCCCCAGCAAAAAAGAATTGTGAAATTAATTTTTTTTTAAATTCATGTGAAATTAATGATAAAAAAAAACATGTGAAATATATGAAACATGTGAAATGAATGAAACACACTTCATACGTAATAAACCTGTCATTTTCGTATCCACCCATTTCCCAAATTTTAAACCTGAAAATTCCCTCAATAATAAAATTTAAAAATAATAATTATAAAATAAATAAAAAATAAAAAAATCTACAGTAAGATGGTATGTGTGTACCAGTCAGATTTTGACTTGATTTGATTATGCATCTCGGGACCCACAGACCAGAATTGAATTAGGGGGGTGTATCCAATTCATACTTATAAAGATTTTTTTTAAGTGAGTGACTTTCATAGAGATGACAAATTCTTAAATATTTT